ACTAAACATATTGTAACTGAGCTACAGCTCAGCGTCCTGCTGGATAGAGGTTGCAGTTACCATGGCCTGGCAGCTCTCTCTGAGATCAACAACATGGAGGACTCTCCCTCCCCACCCCACAGCAGAAGGCACCCTGTTCTCGACCTGACCTTATTTGGAGACTGTCTCTAGACCCTGATACCTGACTTAATCTCTTCCCTGCAGCTTTCCCCCTGCTGCCCATATGGTAATTAGACATTGTGCTAGGAGCTTTATGATAGGACTTAAGACTTGTACTAGGAGCCTTGTGATAGGTGTGTGCTGTTTAATTCAAATTAGGTGATCCCACAGCCACTGTCCCCATAAAGCCACTGTCCCCACTGTCTGGAATAAAGTTGAGCTGACTCACTGAAGCTGTCTCCTGGAGAGCTATCTCTGATGTGTTCACAGGCCATGTACAAAGCTTTCTGTTGCTGCTTCTGCCCCTTTATCCTCGTGGACTGGTGGCCAATGGACCATGAAGAAAAAGGGGACCCCCACATAGCTCCAATGCTTTTTGTTGTTGTTGTTTTGAGATAGGGTTTCTCTGTGTAGCTTTGAAGCCTGCCCTGGAACTCATTCTGTAGATCAGGCTGGCCTCGAACTCACAGAAATCTGCCTGCCTCTGTCTCCTGAGTGCTGGAGTTAAAGGTATCCACCACCGATGTCCAGTGCTAATTTTTTAAAATGCAAATATTCAGTTGCTCTAGTACTGTGTTGACCTATCTTCCCCCATTGAACTTGATACCTTTCCTAAAAATCAATTTTTTACATATATTTACTCTTTTCCATTAATATATCTGTTCCTACAGTACTACCTTAACATGATTGCTGTAGCTTTACAAGAAAATCTTGAGCTGGGTGTGGTGGTGCACATGGCTGAGAAGCAGAGGCAGGAGGACTTTGGGAGTTTGAGGCCAGCCTGGTCTACAAAGTTAGTTCCAGGACAGCCAGGGCTGTTAAACAGAGAAACCCTGTCTTGAAAAAAAAAAAAACCAAACAAACAAAAAAACAACAAGCGAAAGAAAATCTTGAAATTAGTTTATGTTCAAGTTTATTTTTTGTTCAAGTACATGTGTGTTCATAAATGCGTTTGTATACTGTGTGTCTGCAGGTATTTGCAGAGGCCAAAAGAGGGCACTGGATCCCCCCAAACCTGGGTTTACAGGCAGTTGTGAGCAATGAGACGTGGGCACTGGGAACTGAACTCAGGTCCCCGGGGAGAGCAGTGTGCAGTCTTAACTGCTGAGACATTTCTCCACTCCTCAAGTTTATCCTTACTTTTGAAAACTGTTCTGGTCATCCTGATTTTTTTTCTTTCTTTAAATATTTATTTATTTAATGTATATGAGTGCTCTATCTGCATGTATGACATTAAAGAGAAAGAGGGCATCAGATCCCACTATAGATGGTTGTGAGCCACCATGTGGTTGCTGGGAATTGAACTCAGAAACTCTGGAAGCCAGTGCACTTAACTGTGGGAGCCCACAGAGACTCCAGCTTGTGGCTTGATTCCATCTTGACTCAAGGTCAGAGTTCAAGCTTGTCTTCGCTCCTTATAGCTGGATAATAGTATGTTTGCCCAAAGGCATAGTTACTAGATATATTGCTCTTCAAGGCCAAATAACAGGATGTTTGGCCAAAGGCATGGTTACTAGATGTTTTGAGAATTAAGGAGGTGTTTATGCTTGTTTGTTCCTTGATCCATGATAAGGTCTTTTGTTCTTGCTTTTGGTATAAAAATGCTATGAGAAATAAACTTGAGGCTGCTGTGGTATTGACTGAGAGCCCTCCCGAACCTATTCTGTGTCTCTGTCTTTTATGTCTTTTTCCTATCTGTTTTTTTCTCAATCTTCACTCCCCCATTCAGGACTGTCCGACAGGTCTGGTGGGATCTGAAACGTGGTGCCTGAACAGTGGACCCAAATACAGGGGATCCAGTGAAGGACACCTCAAGAGAACGGTAGGCTCAGATTAAAGTAGAAGTATGATGAAGAACTCGGGAGTAAATTGTATATAGAGAGCAGGGTAATAGTAGACAGCTGTCTAAAGATATTTTAAAAGCCAGAGGAGTGAAAAGTCAGGGCTGCAACTGACTAAGTATATAAGTTGTGAAGGTTTGAGATTGTGATTGTTTTTTTTTTAGGTCTGAGAAAGTAGTTTGAAAGTGTGAACATCTGGGTATGTTGTGTGAGTTTGAATGCGTGATGGCATGAGTCTGAGTGAATGATCTAGGTAGGCTGAGGATGCAGGCCTAAGTTAGGCCTAAAGGTGTAATATGAGTAAGTCATAAAGGTCTTGGGAAGTCTGAGAAATGCAGGCTTAAAAGAAAGTAACGTAGTGTAAAGCAGGTGTGCCCTTGGTTTCCCCGAGCATGGGACCTTGGATGCAGAGGAGAACTGGAAAGCAGAGTCGGAGACCGAGCAGCTGCTTCAGAAGCCGCCACGGCCAGCAGCAGCAGCAGCAGCAGCAGCAGCAGCAGCAGACATTGTGGAGCTGCTGGCGGCAGGAGCACAGAGAGTCATAGCGATTAGCGGGGGTCTGTGTGTGCCTTCTGCCATGAAGGAGTCGCAGCAGGGAGAATGCAGACAGCCCGGGTGTTTGTGAGCACCAGACTGGCATGGCTGGAGGCCCAGGACAGGAGGCGGTGGCACAGGAGCTGCTGAGGCTGACGGAACCTGGGCTCCCAGGGGCAAGGTAAATCTGAGCCCTTCGTAGACCCTTTTCTGTGAACTACACTCCCAGGTTAGAGCTAACACATTAACACTGCCCATACTCCTCCAGGAGTTATGGGACAAGCTGACTGCAGAGACAAAGAAGAAAGATGAAAAGTGCAGACTGCAGGGATGGGGGTCTGTGGCAGTAATCCCAGCATGTGGGAAACTAAGGACACTTTAGAGTTAGAGACCTGAAGATACTGAGGCTCCGGATCTAACCGCGAGGAAAGCCAGACTTCAGCTTTTCACTTTGGACGGTCCATGCGTTCTTATGCTAGAACTGGCTCCAGATTTTACTTTTATTGTCCATCACCTAATCCTCATTTGCCACTCTATCATTTCTTGTAAGAAAAAAAATGGTAATAATGATTAAATTTACACCTTTAAAAGATCTCGTCAATATGGAAAAAAGAAGTGAAGGAAGGGGTCAAACAAACAGTGGGAAGACAACTTAGACACGACAGCAAGCTTCCAAACCACACCTGAGGAAACCCTCCCGTTTGAAACTAGTGAGATAACTGGACTGATACAGTACTAAGTAACACAACTGTTTAGAAACTGGTGACTAATACATTTTTGAGGGAGGTCAGAAGTTTAAAAAGATGATATATTTCTTTTCTTTTTCTTTTGGTTTTTTTTGAGACAGGGTTTCGCTGTGTAGCTTTGGAGCCTTTCCTGGAGCTGGGATTAAAGGCGTGCGCCACCACCGCCCGGCCATATTTCTAATTTACACAATTAGATAGTAAGGACAGAAGGCAGAAAATAAAGGAGCCAAAGAGAGGGCAGAGTGCAGGGAGGAAGGATGCACTCAGGCTTGGTCAGGCTTCCACAGAGGTAAGCTCAGAAGCCAATCAAGCGTGGGCTGGAGACACGCTACCAGGATTCTGGATCCTACAGAGTAAACTAACTTAACATGTAAAAATCATTTTTCTTTCATTTGTTTCCCCTTAGAAGCAATGGGGTGGCATATGAGGACTAGGTGATGGCAGCTGTAAGACAACTATTTAATTTCAAACAAGGTGCATAGTGCGGTAGGAATGATTTAAAAGGAGAAAGTGAAACTGACGGCAGTTAAGGTCTACTATTTGAAGAAAAACAATAATTAAGGCAATTTAAAATAACATTACTTCTTATAAAAATTTAGTCTGGAGTCTTACCATTTAGCGTCAACCTCTTCACTTATATATGAAAACAAAACTAAAGAGTTTAAGTTTTAGTAGCGAACTCAAAAGTATTTTGAAAAGTTTTATTATTAAGATATAGATAGAGAACACTCAAGAAAACACTAATCTCTTTCAAAACCTCAGGCTTGGGGCTTCAGTTCTTCATTTCTTTGCTAGGACTGTATCACTGCTCTTTCCTCTAGTGAAGGAAAGGGGAAACATGGAGATACAAAGTATCCTAAGGAAGAGCATGAACAATCTGTGAAAGATGGCTGAGATTCAACTAACTATAAAACAAACAGAAGCTAATGTGATACAGGTGTTCAATGACGTGACTAGTTAATAATCAAAAACTTGTCAAACACACACTTGTCAGGTCAACATCATATATCTTGCACAAACATGTAAGTAGTCTGTCTCTTCCCTAACCATGCTGCACAATGAAACTATCTAGAAACACAAGTACATCACAACCAAGACCTTCAGGGACGCAACTGTCCACAACGAATGCACTTTCCCGAGATGCCCTACCAATGACAGTTCTACTCACCGGCTAAATACATGTAACATTTACAGCATAAATGTAACTCACTGACCAAGGACCAGGAACAAAGTGTAACCATACAGTGGACGGTGTGCTAGAACACTGCCACGCGACATCTGACCACAAGTCCAGAATCGGAGTGGACAGGCCATCCAGATAATCTCCTTTAGCAACAATGGACTAGTGGTATCTTTTCTCTTAGGGAGGTCGTTGCAAACATTTGCTGAGGGGCTAAAATTCCTAAGCTCTCACAAAGTGTGCTATAAAAATAAAGGGGACGGTGTTCTGATATCTGTCGATTTCACCCTTTTTGACATTGTATCCTGCAGGTCTATACAAAGATACTGTGTGTATATGTGTGTATAGTCATCTCTATACATTTCTCTCTCTCTATTTTTGGAGATAGGGTTTCACCATTAAGCCAAAGCAGGTCTTGAACTTGAATCCTTCTACCTAAGCCTCCAGAGTGTGGTGATTATGCAAGAGCTACCTTGCCCAGATGAGTATATGTAACATATATATTAATGTGTTAATGCGTAAATACACTTAAAACATAACTGGAGATAGTAGCATGTATTTCTAACATAATGGATCTACATTCAAATTAAAGCATTTAAACAAGATCTTCATTTAAAAATAAGTAGAAAACAGAATTTTAAATGCTAAAACCATTAATACATCAGATGCAGTCATTTTATAGCCTAAAAAAGCTAAACTTAAGAAAATGAAAGATGAAAAATATGAGGTAGTGATACCCAATTTGTGGTACTTTGATCCTTTATGAAATATACATTCAATGACTGTAAGTGAAAGGGAATCTGAATTCTAAGAGAAAAATTTGGAAAAAGATATATAAAGGTAAAAGTAGAAGTAGAAATATATCCAAGCTATATTTCACAAAACTGCCAGACTTGCAATAGGGACAGCAGACGTAAGCTAACACTCCCAGCAGCGCAAATCACAACGGAAGCTGGGTATGGCAGCACGTGCTTGGATTCCCAGTACTTGGGAAACTGAGGCAGGAGGTCAGGGTATGCTTGCAGCCAGCCTGGGGTACATAGTGAAACCCTGACCAAAAGGGGAGGGGGTGAGAGCTAGGAACACAACTCAGTGATAAGATGCTTACCCAGCATCTATGGAACCCTGGTTTAATGCCCAGCACCATGAAAAGTGGGCGTGGTGAAGCATGCCTATAGTCTTAGCACTCAGGTGGCAGAGGCCACTCTAGGATCACTCTAGGTGGGCATGAAGTTTGACACCAGCCTAGGCTATGTGAGACTGTTGCCAAAAAAAAAAAAAAGAAAAAAGAAAAAAAAAAGAAAAAAAAAAGGAAAAAAATGTATATGTGTGTATATGTGTGTGTGTGTACAATAAAAAAAAAAACTAAGGAGAGTGGAAAAGAGTTGTTTTTCTTTTTTCTTCCTTTGTGAGCTTTACTCATTCTTACTCCTTCCTTTTGTCATTGATAATACTTTGGAACACTTAGTTTAGCAATTCTAACCCATTAAAGGTAATTCAGGGGTTGAGGATACAGCTACAGGGGTAGAGTACTTACTTGCTTAGGACAAAGACCCTGGATTCAACCTAGCACTATTAAAGTTAAAAACTAGATTACTGGGGCTGGAGAGATGGCTCAGAGGTTAAGAGCACTGACTGCTCTTCCACAGGTCCTGAGTTCAATTCCCAGCAACCACATGGTGGCTCATAACCATCTATAATAAGATCTGGTGCCCTCTTCTGGCTATTATACATAACAAATTTTTTTTTTGTTTTTTCGAGACAGGGTTTCTCTGTGTAGCTTTGCGCCTTTCCTGGATCTCGCTCTGTAGACCAGGCTGTCCTCGATCTCGCAAAGATCCGCCTGCCTCTGCCTCCCGAGTGCTGGGATTAAAGGCGTGCGCCACCACCGCCCGGCCAAATATTTTTTTAAAAAAACAACAAAACTACTAACAATTCTGCTTCATCCACTATAATTTGGGTAAAACTTGTGTTGTGGTCATTGGTAAGAAAGGAGGCTGGAGAAATCAAATCAGAGAGGACACAGAAAACAGCAGCATCAACAAGTGGGTTGTTCCTGATGTGACATGAGTCTGGATCCATCGGAAGGGCTGTTAAAACACATAAACAGGCAGTTTATGCCAAAGTAGATCTGATCTGAGACCCAGGAATTTAACTTGTAACAAATCCAGGATGCTGCTGCTGCTGCTGCTGCTGGCTTGAAGCATACACACTTCGAGAGTGAGGGTTGTAAGGAAACAGTAGTCACGGTACAGCTGTGGCTGACCTGTAACTCAATATGTAGACCAGGCTAGCCTTGAACTCCAGAGCTCCCCCTGCCTCTGCCTTTCAAGTGCTGTGATTAAAGGTATGCACCACCACAGATGGCTGATCATGTAGGTTTTAAATACTCATAACAGTGTTACAAGTTTATTACATGTTCAACTATTCTGTATATAAATACATACATATCCAGCACATATATACATACATACATATATAAAAATGTATACATAAAAAATCTAACGTACATATTTATGGTGAATGGAAGAGAGAGAGAAAGAGAGAACCTAAAGGATTATAACTGATAATTAGTAGTTCAGGAAATTTTCTAAAATTTAAGTTAAAAAATGCATACTTAAGGACTGCTACAGAATCCAACGGTATGGGAACAGACCCAGCCTATAAGGTGTTTTGGTTTTTTTGTTTGTTTGTTAAGACAAGGTTTCACTATATATATAGCCCTGACTGGCCTGGAATTCTCCGTGAGTTCTAGAAATCTGTCTGCCATTGCCTCCCCAAGAGCTGGATTTAATCACTGATACTAGATAAACCTGGAAATAAATAATACGAATTCAAAATTGTTGCTAGTAGTAAAATTTAAAATAAGAACTTTATCTTTGTGTGTCAGAATCATACATAATCTTATTTCAGTTTTTTGCAAACTGATGTGTTTGTGTGCAGTGCTGGAAATTGAACCCAGGGCATTTTACATCTGCACAAACATTCCACCACTGAGCTACATACCTGGACCGAACTACTCAACAAAACAAAACAAAACAAAAAACCAGTCATAAAAAAGAATTCATTTGGCAAAGTACTATTTGTAGCTAACAATCACTTATTAAAAACAAACTTCTACCAAAATTCTTAGATCTACAACACCTGATTTCTGGACCCAGCTGAGCTTTTATTTTACAGACCAAAATGTAAGACAGAAAAATATACTACAATAATTAATGAAGCCGTTCCAACTTTGCTTGGAGAGATTTAAAATTCCCAGTGATGGCTTGTACTGCTACCGAAGAACTCATTGACTGGAGTTCAACCAGATAACCACAGACAGCATCCAGGCAGAGATTTGTAAACCTTCTCCTGTAAAGGGAAAGACACCACGTCACCCATTTGCTGCTGTTTTAAAACAATGATGTACTCATCTATTTTTGCATGTAGGAGTGCTTTGCCAGCATGTGTGTATGTGCACCATGTGCATGTCCAGTACCCTGGGGGCTAGAAAAGGGCACCAGGAACCCTGCAGCTCTTGCTGTGAGTGCTGTGAGCTGCTATGTGGGTGCTGGAACTTGTACTCAGGACCTCTGCAAAAGCAGAAAGTGCTCTTAATCCCTGAGCCCTTGATTCAGACCCTCAACCTTCTATACTTAAACCCATTTCCTTCAAAGGGCTGCTTCAGACCAGGTTTTGATTAACTTTCTAACAGTCCCATTGGAAAGCAAGGATTAGAGCACAGTAAATGGTAAGTAGCAGGAAACAGAGAGGGGAATAAGGTGGAGGTCAGCTACCTTATAATCACCATTTTCAATTTGAAGACTGTTAGCTGAGGAGGCACTAGAGGATGATTCCTGTTATTATTATTTACACCTTTTCAGCTTTCAAAAAGACTTTTCCTTGAAATCATACCACAAAGACATAATAGAAATGTCTCGGTCCTAGGTCATAAGAAGGAGCATAAAGTAGTTGTAAATTATTTTCACTTTAGAAAATTTAGGACCATGGTTGAAAAATTTCTGATCTTTCATTAATGCTAATGGTTAGGTGATCACTTAAATAGTTATTGCTAACGTACCTAAGAAGTTCTCTAATGCTTCTCTGTAAGATCTAGAGCAGTGGTTCTTAACCTGTGGGCAACAACCCCTTTGGGGGAGGCATATTATATATTTACATTATAATTTACAACAGTAGCAAAATTACAGTTATGAAGTAGCCATGAAAGTAACTTTATGGTGGGGGGTCACCACAACAGGAGGAACTGTATTAAAGGGTCGCAGCATTAGGAAGGCTGAGAACCACTGTTCTAAGAGCATTCCATATCCACTCTCAACTTGTTACTCAGGTACTTACTAGAAACACTTAAACCTTTTTCTATAATGCAGTATTTAATTTATAGTTACCTCTCACAATTTAAAACTTGGCTTGGATTCTCAACGTATCTTGTTAGTAATACATGGATACAATCCAAAAGGTGCAGTGGCCTTTTCACTCTGTTCCAGAATGGATCCTATAAAGAGAAAAAAATATGTATGTATACACAGACACAGTTTATCTTACAACTCATCAAATATATGTGTGTGTACGTGTATTTTTCCTATTTATTTATGTTGGTTAAAGAAGACTTTGGAATCCAAGCAAAATTTCTTTAAACAGCATTAGAAGTTGAACATGGTGGCACATGTCCTTAATCCTAGTCCTCCGGAGGCAGAGACAGGCAGATGCCTGTGAGTTTGAGGCCAGCCTGGTCTACAGAGTGAGTTCTAGGACAGCCATTGCTACATAGTAAGACCCTGTCTCAAGAAAGCAAAAGAAAGAAACAAACAAACAAAAATAATAAAAGACCACATTGTGATACTTTTTAGGAAGAATAACTGATTTATCATTAGAACAAATAATATGAAATTAAACAAAAAACTGGTATTTCTATGGGCTGTGACCCATTTTCCTTTGAATTTATGCAGTCTGATTCTAGAGTAAAAGAACATAGCTGTCACAGAACCGTAATCTGTTATTACCTACACTTTGGAAGGCACAACTAGAAGGCCTCAGGATGCACCTGTCTCTGTCTCTCCAGTATTGGGATTACAAACATACACCATTGCATTTAGTTTTTTATATGGGTTCTTTGGATCAAACTTGGGCTAGAAGCACTTTACTTCTAGGCTGAGATCTCCCTATCCCCTACAAAAGATTTCTTTAAAAATGAGGTTATAGGAATAAATGTGCTGTTGACTCTGTTTGCTTAAAGCAAGTAAGGGGGGATTATAGTCTCGTGGTAGAACACTTGGCGATCACATGCAAGGCCCTAAGATCTGATCCCCAGAAACGGCCCCTACTTTGGTTTATCTATTAAGACACGAGTAAATGCATATACTTATGGATTTTTAGGTTTGTTTTTTAGGTAAAAGTTTCTCTGTGTAACAGCCCTCCCTGGCTGTCCTAAAACTCACCCTGTAGACCAGGCTGGCCTCAAACTCACAGAGATCTACCTGCCTCTGCCTTCCAAGTGCTGGGATTACAGGTGTGTGCCACTATTGCCTGGTTAATTATATGTTTACCTATATAAAATATTAGTATTTCAAAGTAAAGCAACCCTCAGTTAAGAGTCCCACGTTGACTTTACTTACACATTCGAAGCCAGTCTCCACTGAAAGCGTTTCGCCCAAATGATGAGATACCCACAAACACGCAATCAAAATACCTCATTCTCTATCTTGGGAAACTTAGGGAAGATCATTTTATTTTCCTTACCCGTGACTTGAAGAGTTGATCGTAAACTTCTAGTAGTCTAGGTAAAGGCACTCCAATTTCATTCATGGTCTGTATAACAAAACCAACATCCCAGTTTAAAGTACAAACTTGCTGTTCCAAAAACTGCACAATAAAATCTGGAAAAGAAAATTCAGAAAATTTGGATGAGTGCTTTGCCTGCAAGTACGAATGTACACCATGTGCATGTCTGGTGTCAGTGGAGGCCGGAAGAAGGCATCACATCTAGAACTGCAGTTACAGACATTTTGAGCCCCATGTGGATGCTGGGGACTGTGCTCAGGTCCTCTGTAAGAACAACAAGTGTTCTCACTGCTAAGCCAGTATCCAGCCCCAGAAATATGGAACTGTAACTCTTGATTCAGCAAACTGCCTAACTGTTTTAGTATTAAATGAGTAGTTTCTAGTGGCTATCGGAAAAGGAATTTCAAACACATCTGGAGGCCAGGAGGTAGGTCATTTGGGAACATGGTTGCCTTTAAGGCATCAAAACAAAGTCTGACACCATGTAAAAAAGCCAGATGTGGAGCTACAAGCCTGTAACCTCAGCAGTGGGGAGACAGAGACAGGTGGATTCCTGGGGCTTGCTGACCAACCAGCTTAGCTTACTAGGACTCTCCAGGCTACCCTATCTCTAAACAAACAAAGCTAAGTAATACTTAGGAAAGTTTCCTGACCTCCATATTGATGTTTATGAATGTGCATAAGCACCCATTCTCTCTCTAAACAAAAAACAATATACACATTTTGGAGCATGTTCTTTGTATGTAGAAGGCCTTAAGTGTGATCCCCAGGACTAAAACCCCCAAAACACAAATAACCTCAAACAAATGAAAGTAAGATATATACATGCAAATTGGAGACAGAAAGTAAACTTATAGTTGCCTAGGGCTGAAGGCAAGGAAAGACCAGGAAGTGATTAACTATTGAGTACAGGGTTCCTTTGGGGGATGATGACAATCTCCTAAAATTAGATTGGGTCAGGTTATGCATACAAAAGTTTGTGCTAAAACCATTAAACTGTACACTATTAAAGATATTAGGAGAAAACTGTAAACTCTGAAAGAATGTAGAGAATAATTATACTACTGGAGAGGACTTGATAACTGCAACATCTCTATTTTAAAAACACTCAACAGCCTGTCAGAAAGGACACCCCAACTTTAAAATATTAACATATTGAGTTTTCAATACTCTACCCTTCATGTACTTAGGTTTTTTTCAGGCAGGGTTCACATACAGCGCAGGTTGGTCTCAAACTCTCTACACAGCTGAGGACAATCTTAAATGCTTGACCCTCCTGTCCCACCTTCCTGATTGCTGGGATTACAGGCAAGTGCCAAAACACCTGGCCCAATACCTATTTTAAAAGATCTAATTATGGTTTCATTCTTTTTGGTTTTTCGAGACAGGTTTTTCTGTGTGTAGCTTTGGTGCCTTTCCTGGAACTCACTCTGTAGCCCAGGCTGGCCTGAAACTCACAGAGATCCGCCTGCCTCTGCCTCCCATGTGCTGGGATTAAGGGCGTGCGCCGCACAGCTGGTCTCATTCTTAATAGTCATTACTGTCTTACTATAAATAAGCTTTAACCAAATCTATAATTATGATATTTGAAATTTGAAAACAACCAATATAAACATCATGAATAAGAGGTATCACTAAGGTCAGGCAGTTGGTGGCACACGCCTTTAATCCCAGCACTCGGGAGGTAGAGGCAGGTGGATCTCTGTGAGTTAGAGGCCAACCTCATCTACAAAGCAAGTTCCAGGACAGGCTCCAAAATCTACATAGAGAAACCCTGTCTCTCGAAAAACAAAACAACAACAAAAAACAGCACTTGAACTTGTGGTTACTGTGGAATTTATTTGTTTGTTTTTGAGGCAGGATCTCTATGCAGCTGTCCTGGAACTATGTAGACCATGAAGGTCTTGAACTCACAAAGATACGTCTGCCTATGCCTCCCAAGTGCTAGGATTAAAGGTATATGCCACCAGGCCAGTAGGGAATTTACTATTTAAAGACTTAGAGCAAATACTAAGATTTCTTCTCTTTTCTTTTAAAGTCAGGGTCTCACTATGTAACCCTTGCTAGACTGGAACATGCTATGTAGAACAGGCTGGCCTTGAACTATCAAGAGTGCTGCCCGCCTCTGCCTCCTGAATGCTGGCACTGAACTTAGGACTGTCTGAAGTCTTGTGGAGCTTGTTAAACCATTGAACCTGTGCTACTCTAAACTCCACAGCACAGGGTTAAAATAGTTAAAAATCTAGACTAAAGCCAAAAGATCGTCAAATGGTCCCAAACTTAACTGTTTTCACATACTTATCAAAAATCCAAATACCACATAAACCAATTTATTTATTAATTTTATCTGCATGTATATTATGCATGAGTTTATGTGTACTGGGTTTGTTTAGGAATCCATGGAGGCCAGAAGAGGGCTTTATTCCCTTGGAACTGGAATTAAAGCTCTATGTGAACTGCTATGTGGTTGCTAGGCATCAAACCCAGGTCCTCTGAAAGAGCGGAAGATGCTCCTAAGCTGCCAGTTTCATGATTTTCCTATCACTGAAGTGGCATGAATGCAGTGCAGTTTCAAGTATCTCTGACAACAAAGAGATCTTAGCATTTGAGATGGTCTGTAAGTCTGAACGTTCATTTCAAAAACAGCAAGAGTTAGGGATGGTGTACAGTTCAGTGTACAAGGCCCTGGGCTAAACCCCAAGAGGCTAAGACAGACTAAATAGGTGATTTAATGTGTGATTATGAATATTTTCCTATTTCTCAATTTTTAAAAGCAACGTAATAAGTATTTATATCCTACTTCATAGCTATTGTTTTTATAACAAAAAGAAAACTGTGAGTTAGCAATTGGCTCATAACAATGACTACTCAGCGTATTTGGTCAAGAAACAAGTTCAGATAATTAAAATTTTAGTCTATCTGTTCTTTAAAAAAAGAAAGCCAGGCATGTGATCCATGTAACACATGCCTGTGATCCCAGAACCCAAGAAGGTGAGGTTGAAGGATCCCATGTTGAAAGCTGGTCTGGACTATATAGTCAGAACCTATTTAAAAAACCCAAGTGCTGGTCCCTATAGTCCAGGGTCACAAACCTGCTTAGCATGCACAAGAACACCAGTTCAAACCCAAGCACCACACACAGAAAAAGGAAGCGGGGAGGAGTGAGGAAGGAAAAGAGAAGCCAAGGAAGGGTGAGAAGATGAGAGAGAGTCTGGGTTTCGGCCAAACGCTGCCCCACCCCCCCAACACCTGTACTGTAATAGAGAGCAATAACCAATAATAATCTCAATAAACAATATATAAAACTCTCAGTCATTTTAATTTCTTATTTGACACTACCAATGGTTTTCCCGACAGTATAAACACTTAAACGATATCACTTATCAGTCAGCATAATTACAAACTTGATGTAGAAACTTGGAAAGCTGTTTAGAGAAAATTTCATAGTCAACTATCAAGTTCTGTTATTCTCCAGGGATTCTTTCTGGAGAGTTGGAATTGAAACTGCTGAACTAAATAGCAAATAGACAAATGGAAAAAAGAAACTATTCTCTGCTCTAAAGGCCAATGATGTTTTGTAAGACAGCAAGGTTACCGCTTACCTAGGGGAAAGAAACGAGGTGTGCCAGCATAAATTTTGCCAAGGAGGACAAGCTTGAGGCTGAGAGCATGCATTCGATCTGATGAGCTCAATGTTACACTATCATTCAATTCTGGAAGAGACATGTCAACAGAAATCATGATTGTCTTTAATGTGAAATGTTTACATTGGCTACTTAATAGCTTCAAGATTCAAAATACATCAGGACCAATATTTGCATTTATGTAATTAGCAGATTCTGTGCTTCTGTGAGGGTCTGATATATTTCTCATTATAGTACTAGTTACAAGATTTTGAGAAAGTGTTTTAGATAATTATGAGGGGGTATATTTCAAATAAACTATATATACTTTCACTGAGCATGCTCTCAAATATTCACCAGGGTCACACTCAGTACAATCACCTTTTTACTGTATACATATGTCCTCTACATCCTTTCTATCAGGCATATATAACACATTTCCATAAGCCCTAGATACATACATATACATATATATATTGGCATATATGTATCTTCCCAGTCACTAAAAAACACATGGTAGTACCTATAACTGAACACTTACCTTTCTCTATGATATCTTGCCAAAGTGTATGTACCAATATGGGATCTGAATAACCAGCGCAATGAATGATTGCGAGTTTACACTCTGCAAGTTTGAATGGGTCAGCAAATTCCCCATAAAGCTGTGGGAAGAAACCCCAAAATTAAACATTCAACTACAGGCAGTGTTCAGAGATTAATAGTGAAGTATGTCTTTCAATTACAAATAATCAAATATTTTATCTAAAGTATATGAATATGATACAAGTTGAGTAGCCATGATACAAGATTCTTAGGAACAAATATTTTAAAATATGTACATACACACATGAGATACACTGGGGATGGGACCCAAGTTTAAATGTGAAATTCACATGTTGCATACCAAGGGAAATTTCACAAAATTTTTAATAACATCGGGTGCTTTGATGGTGATGTAATAAAGTCACGTGTGGAATTTTCCAATTGCAGAGTTGTGCTAGGGCTCCAAGTTTCAGCTTTGGCACTCTTCTTTTGAGACGGGGTCTCCGTATGTGCCCTCAAACAGGTTTCAGCATACACATGCTATTGCTCTGAGCTAGAGGAGGATGCTCGATGTCCTAGAATTAGTGTCCTCTAAATCAGGTTGAGAGCCATGGGAATGATACACCTCAAGGTGTTACAGAGAACCTGGAACCATGCACAAGAATGTCTACAGAAGAAGGAACTGCAAGAACAGTGCAGAGTCAAAGAAGTCTGGAGACTTAAACAAAAACAAGGCTACCAATAAGCTGGGTGCGACGGCACCTGCCTGTAACGCCAGCACTTGGGAGGCAGAGGCAGGACTGCCACAAGGTCAACACCAGCAGTTACAGAGCGAGACCAAGTCAAAACGACAACCACCAAAGCCCATCAGAAAACCCTGCTGGGTTTAACAGAGCTCCCACACGAGGCTCACAAGGTTGCCCCAGTGATGGGCTTGGCAGGAACTGCTCTGCTTTTCTAGGAGTCACACAGAGTCCTGTGCACCAGATGGAACCTGTCAGTCCAGTGACAAACTGTCAGAGAGAACTTTTCTACTTACTTTCCCATGAAGCAAATGATACAACAACAACAACAAACAGGGATTTCTAAAATCAAAGTGCCTATTACAGGAATTTCACTGGTTTTTTATTACCTTAGTAATGTCCATCAGCTCAGAATCCAGCTGAGAAATTGCATCCTGCACTGAAGAATGATGGGAGTACTGCCTTTGTAGTGTCTCTTGTATCTGAAGTTGGATCCTAGCGACCTGGTTTCAACAGAAAATATGGTGTATTAAAATCTTTATATCAGCCGGGCGGTGGTGGCGCACGCCTTTAATCCCAGCACTCGGGAGGCAGAGCCAGGCGGATCTCTGTGAGTTCGAGGCCAGCCTGGTCTCCAAAGCGAGTTCCAGGAAAGGCGCAAAGCTACACAGAGAAACCCTGTCTCGAAAAACCAAAAAAAAAAAAAAAATCTTTATATCAACAGGTACTTGAAGAAATGATTCCTTGTCTAAAAGTTCAGTTTGCTAAAGTGAAGATAGTGTACTGATACAGACTTAAAGAGACTATTCTCTCAATGTAACTGGTGCCACAGGAAATGAGCTGTGACAAGTCACCTCACTGCCCAACGTAACTGCCTTTAGTAACCCAATGATCACAGGCCGAAAAATGTTTAGACTGGACCTCCAGCTGCTAATGCCATAAGACTTAAGTTCACTCCAGAAGTAAAAAATGTGATATTTTGTTTATGCTCTAACAAATAAAGCTTGCCTGGACATCCAAGGGCAGAGGTAGCCACTAGAGGCCAGGCAGTGGTGGCATATGCCTTTAATACTGGTCCTTGGGAGGAGGAAACAGGAAGTGATATGGCTGGGCTAAGAGAGGAAGTGATAAGGCAGGTTGGACACAGGAGCTCGGCCCCTTTCGGTCTGAGGACTGGGCAGAGGTAAGAAGTCTCTCGAGTGGCTGCTCCTTGACTTCTCTGATCATTCAGCATTTACTCTGATATCTGACTCCGTTTTTTTATTAAGACCAATTAGAATTTACGCTACAGAGAAAGGGAGTCAAATATGTCATGGACAATCAGATTTTTTTAAATCTTAAAGCAGTTCAGTCTATTCCTTACATTTACTTATTAGATCACCCCAGAATAAATGATGAATGCCATGCAATCCCCATTGCTGCTGGACAGTTGGGAACATGAAACAAAACAAAAACTACTGATATACTAAGGAAAACTCCCGAATTATACCTCTATGTTTCATAAGATTTATATCCAAACATGACAATAAACATATTGACAGAAGCATTTAGAATTAATAATGACTTCAACAGAACTCCAATTCATGGGGGAAGAGGAGACAGTGGTGGAACCATGGCTACTACTCTACATAACATACACTCAAGTATTCAGTACTCACTTCCATTTTTTCTTCTAATTCATGAAGGAATTCACCATCTGCAGCTATTGATGAAATGGCAGTGGAACTTTTAGCACTAAGAATGGCTCGAGCAATGTATTCTAGTCTCTGTTGAAGCGAAATTTCTGTGCTGGGAGGAAAATCCATAATTTTAGCTATATCGTTTCTTCAGATTTGAAGGTTCAAATATATCAAGTAGGACACACTATTTGAAAACCAGAACACAATTGGCTATCTGAAATGTAAAAAAAAAATTAGTGTTTTGTTTTTTTAAATAGATCTAATTTTTTTTTTTAAGACAGGTTCTCACTATCCAGACCCTGACTGGCCTGAAACCCACACCAGTCACCAGGCCTCGAATTATAGGTGTGCACGGTCATGTTTGGTCAATTATTTTAGCTTTCTAATGAGAAGTTCATAACTATAGACAACAAATACTCATGTTTATGTCAAAAACATAAAATCCTACTGTTATTGGGATCATTGGGGTATACCACATTGGGAAGCATGTTACTGGGGAAATTGGAGTTCCCTCTTTTACATTTTTTGTTTCATTAAGAAAAGAATTTTAAAATGGAGTAGAAAGAAATCTTGAGGACATTTAGTCAGTGTTTAAGAGAAAACACATCAGGGCAAGTAAACTAAGTTGTACACCCTGGCAGTTGCCTAGGGGAGAAAGATGAAGAAGAAAAAGAGAAAAACCAAATTTATTTGTAATTAGTAACATGAGGGGGTAGGGGAGACAGAGGCAAAGGCTAAGGCAGGTGGATATCTGTGACCTGGATGCTAGCCAGAGAAGCATGAGAAAGTTCAGAGCATCTGGGAAATCAAAGCTTTGCAGACAGGAAAAGAGAAAGATAGGAAAGAAAAACAGTTAACTCAAAAAAGTGGCTATACCAAGGAAGGGGATTCCTCAAGGATAAGGGAATTATCTCATTAAGGGAATAATTATTCCTCCCTGTCCTTAGCAAGTCTTCAGGCGAATTAGTTTTCCTGTGGTCTAGACTCAAGGACAGATGATTGACAGGTCAACTAAATGAACTCTTAAGGGAGGACACTTACTGTTACACAATAGTGCATAATAGTTATTCTTTTTTTTTAAATGATTTGTTTTTATTTCATGCATATCTGTGTAAGAGTGTGGGATCCCCTGGAACTGGAGACACAAACAGTTGGGAGCTGCCATGTGGGTGCTGAAGGAGCAGCCAGTGCTCTTAAACGCTGAGCCATCTCTCCAGCTCCATAACAGTTAATCTTTGGAGCAGATCAGAATGGCATGACTCCACCCAGGGCCACAGAAAAGTTCCATTCTTTTGACCAGCAGGAAACAACTTTCCTTTAATGAGACTCAACAGAGTACTAATATCCATCTTCACTGGCCTCCAAGACTACTTTAACATACCAACTCCCACCTTCACAACCATGAACAGCTGAGACCCTAAAATCATTTGATAGGCTGAAATTCTGGATGCATGAAACCCAGTCTCAATTTAAAAAAAAAAAAAAAAAAACAAACTCATTTACTTATTGGGAACCTCTCGGATCAACCAGTACTAAAATATCCTTTGCAGGGGGCTGGCAATATAATTCATTAGACACAGGCACAATGCTCATCCCTTGCAGTTACACATAAAAGGTCTCTGTGCATTTAGGAGCCCTGTTTGTAAAAGAGATTTTCCTTTCTCCCCTGTAACCACTACCCCCACCCCCATCCAACTAAACATTTTTGTTTGTTTGTTTTAAGACTGGATTTCTTTGTGTAACAGCCCTGACTGTCCTGGAACTCACTGTGTAGACCTGGCCTCGAACTCACAGAGATCCACCTGCCTCTGCCTCCCGAATGCTGGGACTAAAGGCGTGTGCCACAACCACTGAGCTATTAATGCTAATCCTTAACTATAAAAGCAACAAATAAAGACTTCTACTGAAAGTTGCCTTTTTATATACCAAAAATTAAGAAGGTTACTTTATATTTTGTATGTGAGGGCAACTTTTAGAATTGAGTGCTTATAGAGAGCAAGGAAGTCAAGAAAGCTTTGGGCACACACACCTACATTACCAGCACCACCAACCCCTTAAGCCCCCAGACAGACACACTTCCTACTAGCCATAACTGAACTCTCAACTTTCTTTTTCAGGAGGTAGCCCCTGGAGACTGAACTGCCTAGGGCCTGTGCACACTAAGTATGTGCTCTACCAGTGAGCTACCCTCACAGCCCTCCCACTCTTTTTGTGGAAGACCTCACTATATCAGGCTAGGCCTAGGCTGGCCTACCCGGGTTCCGATGGACATAACCGCCCCCCCCCCCCCCCACACACACACAGCTCTGTCCCATTCTTTACAATGAGACTCTTACACGCCATACCTGTGCATGTCAGCCAATTTGGATAGGACGCGAGCAGCACTACTAAAACTTCTGTTCTTCTCATAATACCTCCAGAGTAAATCCATATAGCGAACTCTATTTTGATCCACTTTGGCCATTCGGACTAGATGTGGCTCCAGAAATGGAGAGGCAATCTAGAAATTGTAGTTACACGGGAAAATTTTGTGATCACCTACATGCTTTTAAAGTAGAAAACAGTGTATTTCTGTGTGTGCCTTGTTTTGTGAAAATAAGCAAAACTGAATCCAACATCAATAGGGAAAATTATTTTTCTCGTTACAAATGATTTTCGTTATAACAATTAATGAAGAACCTTCTATAACACACTAATAAAAAAACTGAGTGTAAAGTTCTTTGAATGAACTTTGAGAACATAGTTAATGGCTCTGAGCCCAAAAGGCACCCTTGGCACTATCAAACACCAGGTCTCAAGTTTATAAATCAAGGAACACTGATACTTAAAAAGAAGCCACCCAGTGACTTAAGACAGAATCTAATTACTAATCCAGAGACCCTTACCCCACAGTGCTACTATTCAAATCAGCCTCTGAACATTAAAGCAATAGTTTACTTCGCTCCATAGAAAAAGAAATTAATTCTTAGCTTTATACTAACACAAAATGTTAAACAGGAGGAACACTAATTTCCTACATCTCCAAGAGCTATTGTCCTGCTACTTGGAAATATATAGGAACATAAACTTATTGTACAAACACTAATTTTACCTGTAGTAGTTTATCTGCAAGGTCAGCTTGGATTAGCCAGTTATAAAGAGCAATACTGAAGAGTTCATCCTTGGACCGCTGAGCCAGTTTAAGCATCTGTTCAAACTAAAATAAACAAAGCAGTGAACACTAGCACGGTTAAAGGCTTTCTTGCTGGATACAACCCCACCCCAACCTTCCGGTAAGAAAACAGGTTGAGTGGCAACTGTAAGCGCGACTTCCTTTCCCAGGGATTATGCCACCACTACCATGCAGAACTTTCAAACACACCCACTTCCAGAATGGAAGCATGCCTGTCCCTTACGTGATGTCCTGCTTCTTCATTGCTCAGCATGTTGGGATCTGATGACAACACCGGAGGACCAGGTTTTTTGGGTACACTAGGAGACTGAGGAGCAGCCTTACTTTGATTTACCAGTTCTTGAAGAGTGTCTGTAATGCACTTGTAACTGTTTAATCTGAAAAAGAAAAGGGTCACTTACATTATTTAGTTAGGAAATATTTTTCTCATGTTAAAGGAGCCCAGGATACTTAAGACCCTGTCTAAACAAACAAACAAATCATGATGATATCTGTCTCTATATATCTAACACTCAGAGCTGAGGCAGAATTGATTTTGAAGCTTGTTTCAAAAACCCAAAACTAGGGGATTGGAGAGATGGTTCAGTGGTTAAGAACCTGGCTACATTTGCAGAGGACTAGGGTTCAATTCCCAGCACCCACATAGTAGATCTTAACCTATATAACTCTAGTTCCAGGATATCTGACATCCTCTTCTAGCCTCCACAGATAACAGGCACAAAAATGATGCATATACATGCAGGCAAAACACTCATATACATGAAATAATGTTAAAATTTTTAACAATTACTAAACCAAACTAAAGCACCCTGTATCCTCTATCCCTCCCTCAAAAACTGCAACACGCCTTTTCAAAAGATTTGAAAACTATTTGGTCAAATGTAGAAGGGCAAAACCACACAAAACAATTTTTTTAATTAGCATATTTTTCTTTAAGTCTCTACAAATTTGTGAACAATTAAGATTTTCCTTTTGAAAACAAAACCCCACTTATTTTCACCTGGAACCAGAAATTAGGGAGGAGGGGAAGCCAATTTTATTCTCAAATCAGGGATCTCAAAAAAATATAATAAGGCTTTAAAAGTAAAAAAGGAAAGAAAAGAAAAGAAAGAAAAATCTCACAGCTACAGGTCAAAAACCATTTATAAGGGACAGGTGTGGTGCTTCATGCCTTTAATAGTAGTATTTGGGAAGATGGAAGATCACTGAGTTTGAGGCCACACTGGTTCACACAGAATTCCAGTCTCCCCAGGGAAATATCTGAGACTTTCCCCGAGACACAACACAGAACTTTTCAGGCCGAGCTGGCAGCTCAGCACGAGAAAAGTGCTTGCCTTGCAAGCAGGAGGACTGGAGTCCAAATCCTCAGGACTCAGGCAGAGAGCAGGCGTGGCTATGTCCACACAGGAACTCCAGCACTGTGTGGACCAAGGGCTGCTGGGACTTCCTGACTGACAGCTAACTCCAGCTTCAGTGAGAAACACTACAAAGGAGTAACTTGGAGCCTGACAGAAAACAGGTCACGTGATGTCTCCCCCGGCTTCCAAGTGTGCATGTACATATGTGCATATATCACATGCATAAACACACAAAATACTTGTAAGTGCTTTTTCAATTTTTATAAAACTAAAATCTTATCTCTAGAGTATGAATTATAATCCTGATTCGGGACTTGATAAAAATCAGTTCTTTCTAAGTAAGAACATAATTAAATTTCATAAGGATTGTACTTGGAATGTTCCTTCCCTATACTATCTATCACAATTTTATACAAAGACAGGCCTGTCTCTAAAAACCCAACAATAGCTAAGGTTCGAGAACTCACCTCTCTTGGAAAGTCTGAAGACCCACGACATCTTCTTCTGGTTCTCCATGTTTATAGAAATGGAGCCCGAGACCCTGAGGATCTTTTTTCTCGGCAGCAGTAAGAGAAAGTTCCACCACGCCCTCGTAAAAGCGCACTGATGGGAAGAAAAGGCCCAGGCTTAGAGCTCGCTACTACTGCCAATGCGTTCCTTAGCAGGCATACAACAGAAGAGAGAGAAAGCTCTGTTTCTAGTAGGCCTTTGCTAGTCTGGTGACAGCATCACAGGATAGATCTGATGGTCTACTGATCAAATAAGGTCTAATATGGCTGGAAGGCAGCTAGGAATGAATCCCTTCTGGGAAAGAAACTTTATATATAAAATAACAGAAAGAAGTTTCAGAGGAAAAAAATTTATGATTTAAATCTGTACTAGCAGTTACAGTTTTTACTTTTAGGATCAGCCAAAAAATTTTAGGCACATTAAAAGTGAAACTCAGCAGTATAATTTGACACGGATTGAAATTCCAAACCCAAAAAAAGTTACATATTAGCCAGAAACAGAGGAGCATGTATCTAATCCCAGGCTTGGGAGGTAGAGGCAGAAGGATCGGAAGCTCAAGGCTATCCTTGGCTATAGAGTGTTCAAGGCCAGCCTGAGCTACATACAAGACTGTCTCAGAAATAAGTAAGCACTTGCCTTACATACAGGTGCTACATTTGATCTCCAACATGACAAGAAAAACAAAAGCTAGACAATTCAAAACATCACCGGCCACGGCGGCCAGGAGATCTGCGTCTGGGCAGACACTCCATCGCCCTGATGTATTCACACATGGCCATGTGTCCTGAGTCAAGAAAAAGATACCAAGAGCAGCTTGCGTCTCACCTTGCCGGTACTGAGCACAAACACTGGAAAGGTCTACTTGGTTGCTGATTTTCTGATATTCCTTCAGTGACTCCCTTAACATTCTTTCTTTTTCACTCTTATTTTGAACTTGTCGGGACCGCTGAAGAAGCTCATTTGCCTAAAGAGATGACAAAAGCTTAAAAAGAGACAAAATCAAGCGGGCAGATGATGCTGTCTATATATGTTTCAGTCTGTCTACATTTACATGGGGTTTATTATCATTATAAAGAAAAACTCTACAAACTTACTTCTTAATTTTAGGAAGAAAATTTTTTGACCAAAAAAATCCTAGCTAGTCTTAATTTCTCTCCCAAGTATGTTAAGCCAGATAGCTTTGTCTGAGAATGCTCTTGCCTAGTCAATACATTATTGGTCAGCACGCTGTTCATCATGTGACACCTTTTTTTTTTTTTCCACCTGTAGGAAAGGATCAATAAGAATTGCCTCATTAACTTTGATTCACTCCAGATTTACTTAACGTCTTAGTGATTTCCCTTACTTTCTTAGGAAGGAAACAAATTTCTAAGTGGATAAATTTTCTTAATTTCTAAATTAAGTGATTTCCCTTAATTGCTAACCTTTGTCTTTTTTAAAATTTATGTGTATGGGTGTTTTGCTTGCATGTATGTCTGCAGCATGCATGTTCCTGATGCCCACGGATGTCAGAACAAGGTGTCAGATCCTCTGGAACTGGTATTATAGACAATTGTGAGCTGCTGTGAGGGTGCTGGAAATTGAACCCTGGTCCTCTGGAAGAGCAATCAGTGCTTTTAATCACTGAGCTATCTCTCCAGCCGCATAACTTTTACCTTTTAAAACATGGCCTAAAAATACTGTCAAAGATTTTTCTATATATAACACTTAAAAGAGTATACGTGTATTTTTAAGAAACCATGTATTTCAACCCCCATTTTAGTTGAGGATTCTAAGGCCAGAACATATTAAGTGAAGGCCCTGAGGTCATACATTGAAAAACCACGAGTTCTCCATTCCCATTCACAAACTATAAACTCATGTATGAAAACACTAAACAAAGCAGTGAAGCATGTTACCTTAGAACAAACCGCATCGTCTGTGCTGTAGAGAAGCGGGCAGATGTCCTGCAGATGTAAACTAATGCCATCCACAGCAGCATTGTCTCTGATGTAGCAGCTGATAAGAGAAGCAATTAATGCACCAGTGAGCTCTTTGTCTCTGATCACCAGATCCTTGAAGGTGGTGATCTTCAGCTGCTCTTGAAAGTCCTAGAAAGAGAGCAATCCTTGCATCAAAAATCACAGAAATAATTTATTTCCTCACAAAGTGAAATTTTTCTGTCTTTCGGTTTTTGTGTGTGGTGTGGTGTGGTGTGGTGTGGTGTGGTGTGGTGTGGTGTGGTGTGTGTGTGTGTGTGTGTGTGTGTGTGTGTGTTGTGTGTGTTTCCATTTTTGAGACAGGGTCTTACTAGGTAGCACGAGCCGGACTGGAACTTATGTAGACCTGGCTGGCCTTGAATACAGATCTGCCTGTCTGCTCCTCCCAAATGATAGGATTACAAGCATGAGGCACAATGCTGAGATTTCATTAATTAACAAAACATGATTTAAATACCAGCAGACTGTAATTTCAATGAGAAAACAGGGCAGAGTGTGCAGCTTAGTTCTAAAGCCCTGGTTTGATTCCCAGCACTGACAAAGAAAATACACTAAACCACTGATACACAACTGCAAAAAAATCTGCAATAAAATCATATAAAGTTGGAGGTAAATCAGACAAATGTAGGTCTAAGTGAATCCGCCCACTCTATATATGAGAAAAGTCTGGTCAAGGCAGAGTCAGCATTAGTACCAGGCCACTCTGCTTTTGGCAGGTGGCAAAATATCACTAGGCTACTTCAAAAAATCTGGCTAGAGCTGGGTGTGGTGGCACATGCCTTTGGTCTTAGCACTTGGAGGTAGAGGCAGGCAGATCTCTGTGAGCTGAAGGCCAGCTGGAGTATATGACAGAGTTACGTAGTAAGATTCTGTCTCAAAAAAGCCAAACCAAACAAAGAAAAAAGAATCTTGTGCTTTCATTTTATTTTTCCTAAATAATGTTAGGATTCTAACATTAAATGTATGAATTTGACCTGCATTTTGGACAAATTTGCTAAGATGGAGTTCTAAAGGGTAAAGTCATTTATAGTCCACTAAGTAATTTTACAGGGATATATTTTCTTTTCTTAAATTTCAACAAAAATATCTAGTAAATATTGCAAGTTATGGGACAAACACCTAATTTGCATTCCCGAGCATATAATTGACAATGGACTGTAAGGAAGCTTTCGAGACAGATCACAAACGATAGAGGGCTGAAAAAGCACACATCCTTAATTCATAATCCGATAAAATTTAAAAGCATCCTACCTGGCATGGAAAATAAAATAGCTTTCAATAACTAAATATGAGTTTTAAATTTTAAAAAGGGGAAAACAAAAAAATGAAGCTTAAAAATAAGGAGAAATTTCAACAACAACCATAACCACTCTCTGGGCACCAATAGAAACCTGCGGGGGTGGGGGTGGGGTAGTGTCACTGTTTCACTTGAAATGCTGCTTACAGCCAAGACATAAGGGGGCTGGAGAGGCAGCTCGCCAGTCAGCAGCACTGGCGGCCCTTCCAGAGAACCCAGGTTCAATTCCCAGAACCCCCACGGAAGCTCACAACCGTTTGTAACTCTAGCTCCGTAGAATCTGATGCCTTCCTTTGGCAGCAACAGACAGGCATGGGGTGCTCTTACATAAGTGCAGGCAAAACACACACACACACACACACACACACACACACACACACACACACACACACACAGCAATTTTTCTTTCTTTTGAGGTGGAGTTTCTCCAAAGCCCCGGCTGTGCTGGAATTAATTCTCCAAGTATACCAAGCTGACCTACAACTCACAGAGATTCTCCCGCCGCAGGACCAAGCGCTGGGATCAAAAGCAGGTGCCACCACATCAGGCACACATAAACTTTTCAAGACTCAAGCACTCTGGGTACCAAACACCCCGGAGGACACATCCCCTCACCTTCTGAAGTTCTCCTACAATAACAGTAAATTGATGCTCACAGAGGAGTTTCCATAAAGCCAGAGCCTGGTAGGATTTTCTGACCAGCTGCTGGATCGCCTGAAGTGAAATCTTCTCACTCAGCTGAGCCTCTAATGACAAAACAACCAGTGAAATATAAAATGACACAGGGTGAGTTGTTTTCTTATGTCAAATAACACAGCTAAGAATGAAATCCCCGTGTTTCTCCCTGCCTCCACCACAGCAACCATAATCACTGGTACGTTCATGTTTTCACCCTCGTGAAATACAGTTGTGTGTATACACACAAAGAACATTTGCATGTGTATACATGAAAAAGAAAAACACTGCAGTGTGCTTGTCTCATTTTCTAAGTAAGCCACATTCGAAGGCTCTCACCAAAGGACATGGAGACCACTTCCAACACAGTGCCACTGAAACAACAATAAATTGGAAGGCCTTCTGGAAGGCACCATCAAGCTTCTCAGGACTGAATTTCTCAAACCCTACATTAATATACCCTAGTACATTATTAAATCAATTCAGTCAGTCAGGATAATTTTACCTTATCTTTTAAATAAGTAGAATATGTTAAAAGGGACAAAATGATAAAACATTATATATGGTATATATAATTCCATAGAATGTTATTCAATCTTCCACTGAAAATTCTAACTCGTTATAACATGAATGAATGTAAAAAACAGTATGCTAAGTGAAGTAAGGCAGTAATAAAATGAAGAAAACTGCTTATACCAAGTACCCAGAGTAGTCAAATGGTCAGAAAACAAAAGCAGACTGGTAGGTGCCAATAGCTGAAGATAGGGAAAATAGAGAGTTCCTATGTCGTGGTTATACTGAGCTTCACTACTGAATAATGAAAAGGTTCAAGAGACGGACACTGGGAACGGTTGCTCAACGATGTGAATAACTGAATGTGCTCAACTGTACACTTGGGACTTTAGGGGCTGTAAGCTGAGTATGGGTATTCCATAGGGGGAGATTCAGAGACAGGGGAGTCTGTTCCTCAGCTGTGTCTCCAACTGGTGATCCCATCTGCTTCAATGGACAGTTGCAAACCAATGGTCACCCAGAAGGCCCTGATTAAACTAAAAAGGCCACACAACAAAACACAGCCATAAAGCCGGGAAAGGAAGGGGTGTGTGTGTGAGGTTTGACTAGAGTGGAAGGGAGGTAGAAAGGATGGAGGGAGAGAGTAAGCAGAATGTATATCTTATCTTTTAAATAAGTAGAATATGTTTGAAACTGTCAAAAACTGAAATAAAAACCAAAACAGCCAACTTTATGGTAGAAGCATGTCACTATGATGAAGAAGAAATTCATCAAATAGAGTGTATGATGCTCTGTGGTAGCAAAGAATTGTAAATCTTTGAAGTATATACTTTGATATACTATGAGCTAAAGCTGAATTATGGAAATAACAATCTTCATGCTGCTTTATTTTCCCAACCACAAAGATGGCACTTTAATAATAATAAATACTAGTATTAAAGTTTGTGGTTTTAGACACTCTTGCTCTGAATAAAGGAAGTCCATTGTTTCCTACTCAGGTAACACAACTCTCTGGTGGGGTCAAGTGTGTATAACTGGTGGAACTGGCCATTGGAAATAATTTACCATGAAACTTCCTCTGCAGCTCTTGTTGCATCTGCTGGGTGTTTCCGTTCTCAGGACGCATGAATCCTACCAGCCTCTGCTGCACTTTGGCAGTAGTGCTGAAACAGAAAATGCAGCGCGAGTGTGACAGCTTTACTGAGGTATTCTGTAAGGCGTACACTACTCTCTCTCAGTCTGACTTCTCATTTTAGTAAGACAAGACTGCACAGCTCATGAACTAGTCCCTAAACTAACAACTGGCAACCACTAAAGCTACAGTGACTGAGGGTCCGTCTTTACACTTCGCGAGTTTAACTGAAAATATTGCCTGCTGATACAACTTTCTCAAATGCTATTGCTGGATTAACAAGTCACCAAATATGCCAACGCATCAGAGATAATCTCATGTTTGAAGACTGCAATGTGCCAAACATTCACTGAAAACAAAACAAAACAAAACAAAACAAAACAAAACAACAACCAGAAAACCCAAACAAGATTCACAACAAATAGATAAAAATCTAGACAGTTCACAGCAGGCTTTTGAAGTATTTCATTAATAGCTTAAGATTTGTTTTTTGTTTGTTTTTTTTTTCAAGACAGGGTTTCTCTGTGTAACAGCCCTGGCTGTCCTGCAACTCTCTTTGTAGACCAGGCTGGCCTCAAACTCACAGAGATCCACCTGCCTCTGCCTCTCAATTGCTGGGATTAAAGGTGTGCACAATCACTACCACCGGGCTTTTTTTATTTAAGGACAAGTTTATCAAAACCTTGGCATAATTTAGTGTCAAGTTGTCATTTTGTTTTTATGACCATCAGAAAGTTATGAATACTCCACCAATGCTAGTCTCCTTAATTTAACTCAAGAGTTTATTCATAGGATTATGAAACTATATCACAGTGCTGGTCGCCATGAAAAGGGAGAAGCTGTCAAATAAAAAAAGAGTGCTTGCCTGGATTAGAACATGGCTAGAAAGAATGGATGCTGTTGAAAATAACATGTCGCCGGGCGGTGGTGGCGCACGTCTTTAATCCCAGCACTCCGGAGGCAGAGCCAGGCGGATCTCTGTGAGTTCGAGGCCAGCCTGGGCTACAGAGTGAGTTCCAGGAAAGGCACAAAGCTACACAGAGAAACTCTGTCTCGAAAAACCAAAAAAAAAAAAAGAAAGAAAAAAAGAAAATAACATGTCTAGGCGGCTAAGACAGCTTAGTAAGTGACAATGCTTGTTGCCAGGTCTAATGACCAGAGCAGGATCTCCAGAACCTGCATAGTGGAAGGAGAGAACCAATTCAGGCAACTTGTACTCAGACTGCCACATAGATGCCATGGCACACACACCTCCCACCCACACAATTCCAAATAAATGTGATTTTAAAAAATAGAGAAATAATAAAATAGAAATGGCCACAGTCTTTCTTAACATTACAGAAAGGAATAATCCAGGCACAAAAAATAATATTGCATATTTTCATTTAGGTAAACTTAGGCAGATTCACTGTGACAGAAAGCAGATTACTGGTCCCAAGGACTGGAAGAGAGGAAATGGAGAGGGACTGATAATGGACAGTTTCTTTCTGGTACAAGGAGAACATTCCAGGATTAGATAAAAGTGATGGTGTATAACCTTGTGAATACACCAGAATCTACAGAAAAGTGCAATTTCATAGGATAGCTCTTAGACTGGGTGTGGTGACACAAACCTTTAATCCCCAGCACTCAGGAGACAGAGGCAGGCAGATCTCTGTGATATTGAGGCCAGCCTGGTCTATGAGGTGAGTTCCAGATAGCCAACGCTACATAGTGAGACCCTGTCTTAAAAAAAATTATGACTGGCAGGAAGTGGTGGCATACTCCTTTAACTCCAGCACTTGGGAGGCAGAGAAGATCTCTGAGTTCACGGCCAGTCTAGTCTACTGAGTGAGTTCCAAGATAGCCAGGGCTACACAAAGAAACCCTGTCTCCAAAAAAAAAAAAAAAAAAGACTGTATGGTACAGGTCTAATGGTTCAACAAAATAAATAGAAAGGAAAACTCAACAGCTAGGCCTGTACTGCAGTGGTAGAGCACTTGCTTAGCATGCCTAGCATGTGCAAGGCCCTGGGTTTCAGCTCAGCACCTCAAAGAAAGAAGAAAAGGCATCTTTCATACACAGAAAAGAAAAAAAAAGTGAATAAATACATAAATCTGGTTCTTACTTTGGATTTCCTAGTGGTCCTCCAGAAAACTGGGAATTTCTGTCTAGAAATTCCTGCAAACCCTTCAGTTCTTGTAGCACAGACTCTAGCAGCTGGCTAGGCACACTGCTTTCAATCTGTAAGAGCGAGAGTTTCAAGTTTAAAGACATAGAAAACGTGTATGCATAAAAAAGTCTAATTAGAGTCAGTGCTGACTGTATACAATTTTAGTTTTGAGCTATGCTATCTTTATAAACACTACAGTTCTTAAGTCCACTGAACAACCAGTTAGCCGAAATGAAAAGTAATGAAGGTTACCCATGTCCTTCCCTTCCCGTTCCTTTAATATTAACATATAATTTATCTACAGTAAAACATCTTAATTACTTTTCACATTTCTGTGGTCATCACCCAGATCCCAGTACAGCATATTAACACCACCCACATCCTCATGGCCTTTTCTGGCTATTAATCAATCATCTTGTCTTCAAGGGAACCTTCTTTCTGCTGTCATTAATCACTAATTCAGCCAATTCTGAAGTGCAAACAAATACTATGTTAAATAAAGTGTATTCTTAGTATTAGAAACATGAACTCTAAGCTGGGTAGTGGTGGTGCACACCTTTAACCCCAGCGCTTGGGAGGCAGACGGTTCAAGGTCAGCCTGGTCTACAAAGTGAGTTGCAGGGCAGCCAGGACTGTTACACAGAGAAACTGTGTCTTGAAAAACAAACAAACAAAACCCCCTTAAGATATTAATAAAAGAAAAAAGAAAGAAATGTGAACTCTAAAGGAGCACCACTATTTGGGTTGATTATATATGTCAGTGCATGTGTACAATCCCAGTACTTGGAGGTCGTAGTAGAAAAATCACAACATCAAAACCAGCTTGAAATACATAGCAAGACTCTGTCTTGAAAAACAATAACAAAAAACCAGACAGAGTGCCGGGCGGTGGTGGCGCACGCCTTTAATCCCAGCACTCGGGAGGCAGAGCCAGGCGGATCTCTGTGAGTTCGAGGCCAGCCTGGTCTACAGAGTGAGTTCCAGGAAAGGCGCAAAGCTACACAGAGAAACCCTGTCTCGAAAAACCAAAAAAAAAAAAAAAAAAAAAAAAACCAGACAGAAAACCAGAACAGTCAAGAAAGCAAAGAACAGTAAAGGAAAACAAAAAATACCCGATACTTTACCATTTTAAAAAGAATTGAAAACAAAAGTGATGTTCCAGATTCTCTAAAGAAATTTCCCTACCTGTTCTGTGATGACAAAGCTCTGTAAGAAATTTCCTTAGAGCAATTTGAGAAGTGTGTGAGTGCTGAAATTGTGAGAGTATCCTGCATAAAGGCCAAGGAGAAGCGGGAGCAGACAGGGGACACTAAGTGTTAGGCTGACTCTGACCCTCACAGCACCCTTCGGAAGTGGAGCAGCAGGCTGTGAAAGCCGCACTCAGAAGTGACTGGGACAAGACCCAAACTAGCGAGAGGACGGTGTACAGGGTGAGAACACCAACACCTAGATAGAACAATCACTGCACCTCACTTCCAACATGAAGACACATGAGACACCATCTTTTAACATCATCTACTGGTTACATACAAACAAGATGACATATAATATCACTTACTGCAGTGATCTCCCTGTTGGAACTCTTGAATACTCTTTCAACAACTAAGCTAGCATCCCAAATATTTCTGGAACAAAAAGAGTTTTAATTAGTATATTATAAATGAATGCAACATTTTATAACATGTAGTTACTTTTCTGCAGGAACATAATTGTACTTACTTTAACATGTTCTAAGTTTCCTAGAAAACGGGGCTCGAGAGATGGCTCAGCAAGAAAAGACACTTACTTGTAGTACAAGCCCAGTGGCCTGAATGCCACCCCCAGAGCCCATGTGAAGCTGGAAGGAGAGAACTGATCACAAATGTCCTCTGACATCCACATGTATATTGTGGCATAAGCTTCTTCTCCATTATGCATACACACCAATAATATGTATAATTTTAAGAAAAGAAAAAAGTGGGAAAACTTTCAAACATCATATCCCTATTACTACAGAATGAGTTTATTAAATGAAAACCTACTGAAGAAAAAACTCCCTGGTTAAGAGCATTTTCTGCTCTTGCAGAGGATCTAGGTTCAGTTCCCAGCACCCACATGACAGCTAACAATTTATAATTCTACTTCCAGGAGATCTGATGCCCTCTTCTGGCCTCCATGGTCATCAGGCATATAGGCAGTACACATACATACATGCAGGAAAAGCATTTCTACATATAAAGTAAAAATTATAACATGCACACCAGCATTTATCTCAACATGTATCAATATATATCCAGGCACAGCAGCTAATTAGAAGGGATGGAAGGACTACAGATGGGGCACCATCATTCATCCTTCCCTCTACTCATTTCCTCTGCAGGATGACTTCCACACCATCCTTAAAGGGATGGAGACTCCTTCCCATCTTTTGAATCAAGGTTGGCCAGATAAGGCTAGACAGAGAATGGCACTGTTGTAAACAGGCACGGAGGGGCTTTCCAAGTTTCTACCTTCTCATGCAACCCTGCCACCAGCAAGAGGCAAATCCTTGATTGTCCTACTGAAGGATGAGGCCATACAGAGAACAGAACTATGTGCCCATTTCACACCAGTGGATAAAAGGGCCTCGAAGCACATAGCAATCCAGCCAGGATAAATAAAACTCTACTGTTGCAGCATCTGATTGCATATGCATGAGTGAGCCATGTAAGACCAGACCTGCCCAGCTGAAATCTAGATACATACTGTTCAGTTATAGGGCTAGCTACTAATGTGCATGAAGATATAAGCTAAGGCTATATGCACAGAAATAAAACAATGAATACAGTTAAAGGGCTAACAGTGCCAAAACATTCACCACGTAATGTCCCAAATATGGATTTAGGAATATTTCACTCTTGCAAATAGGTGAAAATGGGACAGTAGTAAGGTAGGCTACAAAATACTTACCCCATGATTCGAGAGAAGTAAATGCAAATACCATTGTGTTTTCCGGAGAACACAATCTCTGGCCCAGTCAAACCACTCATGCTCGCAGCCTGCATTGCTGGGTTTCCCACAGCGTACATTGGGGTTGACATGGTAGGAGGCTGAGCGCCTGTAAACAAACACCAAAGTCTCGGAAAAGTAAATCCTAGGTTCACCCTCGGGGCTCATGAGCTCCAACCTACTACCATTGTTTTGTGAAATGGACATAGTATCAAGCAGCCTTTTAATTCACATCTCTATAGCCAACGATCAGTGTAGCTCGCAGTCCTTATCAGAGAAGTTTCTTTGTGCCATAGACGGTGGCTACCAAAGAAACTCACAAGAAGGTGAAATGAAGGGGGAATAAGTCCCTGTGGAGTCTTCTGTCACAACGGGACATCTACATCATAGCCCAACTCTAACCCACCACCAGAAGGCACAGGGACCATCATGGAAGAGGGTAAAAAGACTGTGAGAACCAGAGGTCAGAGGAACAGGGTGAGACAGTGTCTTCTGGACACTGCTCCATCAGGAACTCACAGTATGGCTGGTTACATAAGACTGAGCCAGCCAACATTCCAGCATGGGACAGGGAAGGGCTCAGAGCCTCTACCTCCGGCTGAGGAGCTATTAACAATTGATGGCTTCTGTCTGGGTTTAAGAGTTGTTGTGGGCCTTGTATGCTACAGTGGATGGCCCATGTCCATTAGTATACACACAGCACAAACTGCACTGGGCGGGCTATTTAAAAAAAGAGGACACAGGTTGAGGAGTGGGGGTTTTGGATAGTGGTTCTGGAAGGAGTTGGGGGTAAATATGCTCAAACACACTGTATGCATGTATGAAATTCTCAATAAGTTTGTTAAAAAAGAAATCTGCGGGAGGCAGAGGCAGGCAGATCTCTGTGAGTTTGAGGGCAGCCTGGTCTATAGAGCGAGTTCCAGGACAGTCAAAGCTACAGAGAAACAGAGACAAACACAGATACAGATACAGACACAGACACACAGACACATACAAAGAAAAACAAGGGAAGAAAGAAGAAAAAAGAAAGAAAGAATGCTTAGAAATTTCAATAATCCATTTGGTGATCCTGACCAAAAAAGGGAAATATTTAGAGATAATGGAAGCAATAGAGATACATTTGATTTTGCTTGATAAAAAGTGTAAACTTGGAAGGGTTTTCTCAGCTAAACTTTCACATGTTGGCAAGGCAGGATGAAAAGTAAGAAAACCTGCAATCAAAACTGTTTCTAATGTGGGAGTGAAAAAGAATGAATTAGTCATGAGGACCCAGTTAATCTCCATATGCCAGTGAGAGGATGCCACACTGTTACAGGAGTTCCTGATACATTCAGAGTCAAATGCAAAAACCAGCTTGGATGCCACTTCTGTTAGCTGAGTGCTGGCAGGTGTGCTGATCTGTGTGTGCATGGACGTATAGACCAAACAAGATTATAAGTATGCATCTGGGCTGCCAAGGACAACCTTGGTTGTTGTTCCTGTTCAAACTATCTCTCTCAGGCCTGGAACTCAGCTAGCAGATCAAGCTGGCTGGCCAGGAAGCTTCCCCCAGTGCTGGAGATTGCAAGGACATACCACCATGCTGGCTGTTTTACATGGGTTGTGAGGATTGAACTTAGGTCTTCAGGCTTATGTGAAGCATTCTATCGTCTGAATTATCTCCTCATCCTCTGACTTTTGTTTTTATTTTTTTAAGGGATTAGGCAAGTTAATATATTTCACATTAAATATTAAACATAAATTAATAGTGTTAGCTCTTCAAAATGAACAGAAGTAAAAAGCTAAAACACAGAAAAGAGATACCATGGGATGGTGTCCCCAAATGGGGTGGATTTGGATAGGCACTACCACCAGGGAGAGGAGAACCTGCAAATGAAAAAGAGACTCGTAAAATACTTTCCCACTGCTCTGAATCTGATCAAGATTATGTAAAGGAGATACTATGAGTGTGACTGAGGAATAACACTACCTATCATACCAAGAATCAGACATGCATCCTATTTTTAATTCGTCAACCAACTTTCTCCCATTCGGAAGACACCAATACGGACTTGCTTATTACTTGATTAAGGAAATTTTCTTCTTTATCTCTTTCTCTTTGAATACTAAATGAGCTCTGGAAATACTACTGGTTACAATTTATGTTGCTTCTTAGTATTCATTAAAGATTCAATATTGTGAGAAGTGGTAGCAGCACACACTTTCAATTCCAGCATTGGGAGACAGAGGCAGGGGGATTCTCTGAGTTCAAAGCCAGCCTGGTCTACATAGCAAGTTCCAGGCCAGCCAAGGCTACATAGAAAGACTCTATCTCAAAACAAACAAAAACCAAAAAAGAAACCAAAAGCCCCCTAACAAATAAACAAACAAAAAAATATTCAACAGTCACTGTGTAGACCTTTTCATCACTAAGACAGAAGTACTAACAAAACATTAAAATTCTCTATTGCATAAAGTATGTCATCTCTTCTAAAATATAAACCAGTTTCATTTCAGTGTTCCATACTCACTAGAATACATGGGAGACCCCAGGAGAGGACCAACATTACTTGGAGTGGGAAGAGTGGCTGGAAATCTCATCTGTGCTTCACCACCATACCTATTTGTGTGACCAAAGAACAACTTCGATTAAATTGTGTGGAGCTGGAGTGGTCCTGCCTGGCCCACAGTCAGGACAAATCTCTGTCACCCGCCAGTCCCACAGCCGCTCAGACCCAACCAAGTAAACACAGAGACTTATATTGGTTACAAACTGTATGGCCGTGGCAGGCTTCTTGCTAACTGTTCTAATACTTTTTTTTTTTTTTTTTGGTTTTTTCGAGACAGGGTTTCTCTGTGTAGCTTTGCGCCTTTCCTGGGACTCGCTTTGGAGACTAGGCTGGCCTCGAACCTGTTCTTATATCTTAAATTAATCCATTTTTATAAATCTATACCTTGCCACATGGCTCGTGGCTTACTGGCATCTTCACATGCTGCTTGTCATGGCGGCGGCTGGCAGTGTCTCCTCCCACCTTCCTGTTCTCAGTTCTCCTCTGTTAGTCCCACCTACACTTCCTATCTGGCTACTGGCCAATCAGTGTTTTATTTATTGACCAATCAGCAACACATTTGACATACAGACCATCCCACAGCAATTGTGCATCCTACAAAAGCTGGGGTAACTCCTGTTCCTGTTTAGCTTATTTATATAAATGGTGCTGACAATGAGATTTGTACCTAGCATAATTCTTTGACAACTGTTGATTTGAAACTGCTACCAGGAAATTAGAGGGACTCTACTAATGTCTAAAAAAAAGATATGTAACGAATAGTTTACTTAATTAATGACATGACACTGTAGTCTCTCTGATAGAATATGATTAGCCGTAAATTTACAAACTAGTTTTTAAAAGATTTATCTTTATGTGTATAGGTGTCTTGCCTGAATCTATGTCTGTGCACCATGGACTACCTTGCACATGGAGTCTACAGATGGGGATCAGATGCCCTGAAATAGAGTGACAGATAGTTGTTAGCTACCATGTGGGTGCTGGGATTTGAACCTGGGTCCTTTAAAAGGGCAGCCAGTGCTCTTAACTCCTCAGCCATCACTGCAGCCCTATAAATTTAAAAATTATACAGCATACTCATACTTCAAATTCTTGGTGAAGTATTTTACACAAAGAAAATCTCTGAAGGCTGGGGCAAAGGTTAACGGCGCAATGCTTGAGTAGGAAGTAGGAGTCCTGGTTTAATCTCCAGCACTGAAAAAAAAACTCTCTCTTCAACACCAAGTTTCCTTACTGTCTCAGAATTTCTTAGTGCCAGTGATACACGTAAAACAGAACTGGTCATGTTTGAGGAAGGAAAAAAGACGGAGGGGAGAAACTGGTGAAAGGCGCAAAACTCAACCAAAATTTAAAGAAAACCTAGAGAACAGTATACATGCAGTGGGCTAATCAGCCCGTTCCATCAGCAGTATAATTTTTCTTGATTTCACTCTTATTAATGAATTTTAATAATTTGCCTATTTCCTCTGTTTGGCAAAGCCTTAAGCTATCACACTGGTAATCATTTTTAAAAGTAGTCCAAAAGTGGTGTCTCTTTAACCCCAGCACTCAAGAGGTAACACAGCTACCACAGGCTGAATGGTGAGGCTCTCCCTCGCAAAAATAAAAGACCCAGATGGCTGGAGAGACGGCTCAACAGTTAAGAGCACTGGGTAGTCTTGCAGAGGACCTGGTTTCTATATTCAGCACCCACATGGCAGCTCACAACTGTCTATAACTGGAGTCACAGGTAATCCATGCACTCTTCTGGTTCCCAAAAGCACTGCATGCATGAGCTACACAGACACACACAGGCAAAACACCCATGCACAAAAATAACAACTTTTTTTTTTTTTAAAAGTCGCCCAGGAGATACAGCTTAGCATGTTTAAGATCCTAGATTCAACTTCCAGTACCACCAAATAAACAAATAAAAACCAAACAAACAAAAAAGCAGGCTGGCTGGATAGATGGTTCAGTGGTTAAGAGCACTGGCTGCTCTTCCAGAGGTCTTGAGTTCAATTCCCAGCATCCACATGGTGGCTCACAACCATCTATAATGGGATCTGATGCCCTCTTCTGGCATAAAGGCATACATGCAGATAGAACACTCATATATATATAAAATAAATAAAATAAAATGAAAAAAAAAAAGCAGGTCTTCCATATATAAATATAATCACAATATTACTAAGGTATTTGATGGGCATTTTGGGATGTAGCTCAGTGGTAGAGTACTTAGTGCTTGTATAGCATGTGCAAAAAGCCCTATGTCCAACTCTCAGAACGCCCCCCCCACAGTGGCTCATTACATAAACACACACACACACACACACACACACACACACACACACAGACTCACACTCCACCCTGATGAATACCTAAAGAATGCCCGTGTAGCCCAAGCAGACACTTCTCTATCACAGGCAGCAGTAGAACAAGCGAGGATAAGGCAAGTTGCACAAGCTTGGTCTTCCTGTAAGGAACAATTAAAGACACATCCAGTCGTTAAACCAGTGTTCAACAGTAATGAAATCAACTGATAGCAATAAAGTGAACAGCCCAGATTTAAAGTTTAGCTCAGGCACTAGTATTAAAGATGCTTTCTCTTTATTAAGCTCTGATCAACTGTTACTCTTTATTTTTTATTATTGTAGTCTAGCTTTTTAATTTTGAGACATTATCACCAAGAGTCAACATTTATTGAGTACTTATCATGTGCTAGGTACTATTTTAAGAAGCTAGTATGAGCCGGGCGGTGGTGGCGCACTCCTTTAATCCTAGCACTTGGGAGGCAGAGCCAGGCGGATCTCTGTGAGTTCGAGGCTAGCCTGGTCTCCAAAGCGAGTTCCAGGAAAGGCGCAAAGCTACACAGAGAAACCCTGTCTCGAAAAACCAAAAAAAAGAAGCTAGTATGTAATAGTCCTTACAGCACAGTTAACAAAAAGCAGAAAGTAAAACTAAAATTAAAGTCAGTGAATACAAGCTTCTCATTCCATTTTTGGAATATTTTCAGCAGGTAGTTTGAATCCTGGGTCAGTACACTTAACATTAATTAGACAGTACTAATTTTAACTAAGCCTTCTCAGTTTTAAATCTATCAACTAGAGTTACAGCTATTAACTACTAATGTCTCCACATTTTGCTTCAACTTCCTGCCTTATGCAGTGTGCTTGGGAACACACACTACATGTGCATGCTCATAAATTAAGGCCTGGTGCTTTTAGTAAATAGTGTATTTATCATACGACTTCAATATCAAATTCTTACTAGTACACCTTAATAAGGATTTGTCAAAATCAGAGAATGAGTCTGGAGCAGTCCTATGACTTCACTACTTTCAGTATCAGTGCATATATGCTGATTCGAGCACAAAAGAGAACAGAAGATCTGTGTATTACAATGTTTTACTACCAATTTACCAAGAATTTTAACATCCTTATTGCTGCCTTATTTAAAATATCACACTACAGGGCATAATTACCTGATGTAATTTGAAGAATCTTTCAATCTCCTCTCCATCTCCACCCACGTTACTCACAAGCAGATGTCTCAGCTGATCTACAGGTCTCAGTTTATGAAACATAAGACTACCCTAAGAAGTTAAAAGCGAGAGAGACAAGTAAGCGATTACCACGCTGACTAGTGGAGGGCTGGAGATGTAGCTCAGGGGTGGAGCTCTAGCCTGGCATGCACAGACCCTAAGTTCTCTCCCCAGTAACACTCACAGAAAGCCTGGCCGGTAATGACTGACTGCTACCTTATTTAACAATAAGCAACTCCAAGAATATAAAATAAACCAGACAAAAAGATTGCACAACAACCTATATTCAATTCCCATATCTACAAAAAATTAGTATTTTTGCCCCTGTTATGCTGCTCCTCAAACCAGAGAATTAGTTATATTATTCATATTATTATTTTTTGTTGGCCTATATATGTCTATTCATACAAAAATAAAGCTGAATCCTTAGCCATCCATTAACCAGGATACATTCCAAACAGATTCAAGATTTAAGAACAAAATAAAATTATAAATGTACTAGAGGAAAGTACAAGTTTTGTTTAATTTTCTTAATAAATCTCAAAAAAAAAATACTCCAGTACAAAACAAATTCTTAAGAATAACTGTTATTGACTACTTTAAACTTGTCTGTATGGGAAATTCTTCAATGAAGAGTTAAATCACAAACTAAGAAAATCACGTGAAAGCAAAATGCAAAAATTTAACGTTTCTCATCCTCGGGACAGACTACAAGAACCACCTCCACCCTTAGGTGCCTGAAACTGGGCATAACACCAGAGCAGGGGTATGGCTCAGTGGTACAGTGTTCCGCTAGCCTGCAGGAGGAGTTCCTGGGTTCCATTGTCAGCACTGCTATGAAAAGAAGACCTCTGCACCCTGCACACAGCCTCGTCTGCCTCCGCCGTAAGCAGATATGCACACACCTGTGCTGAGAGGAGAACGAATCTCTTTGGAGGCAACATGTGCTGCTGCACAACAACCGGCGAATCAGTTACTGGAATATGATCTTTATTTAAAGGTGTGATTATTTTATCCACTTTTAATTCATCTATTGCAGAAAGAGCCCAGGAATGACCATCAACACGGGTTGTCATCTATGAAAAAAAAAAATACACTGTTGTCATAATTTGTTGAAATCATATATGCCAAAGCTTCTAGGAAATAAAAATCACAAAAATAAATAAGCAAATAAATAAATAACAAAATAACCAAAGAAACTTCCCGAAGTCCAGTAACCTGAGTATCTTCAACACCTATTTAGCTTGTTACTATACTATTCTTTTAAACAGCATCTTCTATATGAAGTCTGTCTCTTTTGCTCTTCCTTCCTTTTTTAGAGACACCCTCACTATGCTTTCCAGGCTTCCCCAAGCCTAGTCTCTCTGATTCTGTCTCCAAGGCTAGGAGCACAGGCTGGACCAGCAGGCTGGACCAGCAGGCTTGCTGACCTCCGCAGTCTACAGCACAAGGCATTCCTAAGATAAGCTACCCGTTCCACTGCTCTGTTAGTTCACCAGCCAGAGACTGGCCATCTAAGTCCCCGTACAGATGGATGTAACTGGCAGACTCAGTGGTGTTTGCTGCCATAGACTATGCTCTCCTTTGTTGTTCTATTTCCCTCCTAAAGTAAGATCCTTTAAAAACAAGTGTTTTAATATTCTAAGATATTTTAGAAAACACATTTCGAGCACTGGAAAATGTTAAGATATTCTCTCCGTTTTTATGCATAACACCTAACCTCAACAACTACTGTCTTGATATAGCTGCTTTCTCTCTCCTTTCTTCTACTGAACCATTTAAAGTGAAGACACATCACCCTAAATACTTCCGAATGGATCTCCAGAAAATAACGATATTCTCTTAAACCATGAATCATTGTAACATTTAAGAATGCTGACAATTCCCTAATTAATTCAATGCCCAGTCTATACAAATTTTCCAAGTGTGTCTCTTGTATACTTACTTTTAGAAAACTAGAATTTTATCAGTCACACACTATTTTTGGTGGCTGATATTTTTATTTTTAAATAAAAGTTCACATCTGATTGAGAACTCAAATATTATACAAATTACTTAAAAAATAGTTAAGCTGGGTGTGGTGACTCATGACTGTAATCCAGGCACTGAAGAGGCTAAAGCAGGGGGAACACGAAGTCTGAGATGAGCCAAGGCTAGACACTGAGTTTCAGACTAGCCTGGGCTTTTGAGTAAGGCCAATCTCAATAAACAAAACAACAGAAAGTTAACATTTATCAGACCCTTCCTCTGTCCAGGCAATGATCTGGGTGTGTTCTGTATATGATTTCATTTAATCCCATGGTATCTTCACAGAGGAAAAGTACTATGGCAACTATTATACATGAGGAAATCAGAGTGCCAAAGTTATTCAATCCTCCAAAGCGATGTTGAGCTAAATTTCGAGCCTTATCCCTGCCCCCAAATCAGGACTGCACTTGTATCTTTCTGAGTTCTGAATTCTTATATGTATTACAACATGAAGCTTTACCAGGCTGGCCTTGAACCCACATAGATCTGCCCGCCTCTGCCTCCTGAGTGCTGGAACTAAAGGTGTGCATGACCACGCTCAACCCAATGTTTCCTTTTTAAGATGTTTTTAAGGCCAAGTAAGGTATCACATGCCTATAATCCCAGCACTTGGGAGGCAGGGACAGGTGGGTCTCTGAGTTCACGGTTAGCCAGATCTAGCCATCTAAGGCTACATAATGAGAACTGCCAAAACGATTTTCTTTGTCTGAGTGTGTGTGTGTGTGTGTGTGTGTGTGTGTGTGTGTGTGTGTGTGTGTGACTATTGACAGAGATAAAAAACAAACAATAAGGATTAAGAAGATACATTTCTTTACTCTTAATTAAGGTTGCTTTCTTTGGAGCTGGAGAGAAGGCTCAGTCGATAAGAATACTTGTTGATCTTCTGGAGGACCCAGTTTTGATTCCCAGCACTTGTCTTCCCTCAGTGGGTACCAGGGATGCACACAGTGTACATACATACATACAGGAAAAACACTAAGACACATTAAATAAAAAAGTTTGTGTATACATGTGCTCATGTTTGTGTCTGTGGTAAGTGTATGTGCACATTAGTGCACAGATGAACAAAGAACAAGGTGAGAGCATCAGATCCCTTATAGGTGGAGCTATAGGTGTTTGTCAGCCACTGATGTGGGTGCTGGGATCAGAACTCTAGTCTTCATGATCGAACATCAAACCATCTCTCCAGTGCCCCTCAAAGATTTCTAATCATATATTAATTATTATGAAAATAGCAACAATTCAATAGACAAAGTTATTTACCATACTACTGCTCATTTAAAACATCTGTAACTGGAATAGGGATGTGTCCAACAACTGAATTCCTGACTAACATGCACAGAGCTCTGGGTCTGACCCACACCACACACTAGTTTCACTGGAAGTCTCAAAACAACTGACCTGAGTTTCCATCATTGGCTTTTGGAAAGGAAATGTATCATGGTTGATACACCATAAAATGTCATTATCTTCATTTTCTGAGGCTGTCATCAGTAGAATTCCTAAAAGTTAAACACACAAAATATTATTACATGATGCTAAATAACCTGTATTCTCAATAACTTTAACAATTATCAACAGTATATACAATTTATACAATGGTGGAAACAATCTAATGGGGAAAGAATAGGACTCTGTTTTTAAATAAACAGTGTTTGGGAAAATAAGATGTATAACTAAAAATGTTTACAAATAAACTGAACAAAGGAAATACCAGACCTATACACTGTATATACATCAAGAAACAGAAAGGAGGTCTAATTCAACAAGTTACAAAATAAGTAAAAATAAACGCCTTGAAAGAACCATGTACATGGCTGGAGAGATACGTTAGTTGGTAAATGCTTGCCCTGTAAGCAGAGGGATTCAGGTTCAATTCCCATAATCTCTACTCTGGAGAGATGGATATGAGCGGAAGCCTGGGGCTCAATGACCAACCAGCCGAGCCTACTCAGTGAGTTCCAGGCCAGTGAGACTTGTTTCCAAAACAAGAAAAGAAAATTCAAGAAAACTGAAAGAGGTGGGTTAAGCCTGAGGAATGACCCTTGACGCTGTCTGCAGGTCCCTACACAATTGCAATCACACAGAACCTGAGATCATTAGAAATCACAGGTCCTACACAAGTGTGCGTACACACACAGAACCTGGGATCATTAGGAAGCACAGGACCTACACAAGTGTGCACACACAGAACCTGAGATCATTAGGAAGCACAGGTCCTACACAAGTGTGCACACACACACAGAACCTGAGATCATTAGAAATCACAGGCCCCTACACAAGTGCGCGCACACACACACACACACACACACACACACACACACACAACCTGAGATCATTAGGAAGCACAGGCCCTACACAAGTGTGCACACACAGAACCTGAGATCATTAGAAATCACAGGCCCTACACAAGTGTGCACACACACACACACACACACAGAGAACCTGAGATCATTAGAAATCACAGGACCTACACAAGTGTGCACACACACACAGAACCTGCGGTCATTAGAAAGCACTTATTACATGTTATTGATCTTATCGTGAGTGCTTTAGAGAAACGTTTATTTTTTTCATTTTTCTGTTTGAAGCTTATCAATTTTCATTAGTAACTTATAAAAGCTTATTAAGTATATAAATTTTTTCTTCATGTCAGTGTCTTCTCAGTCAGTGAAATAGTCTACGTACCAGTGAAATCAAATACATCATGACTAAAAAATAGATACAGGTGCCAGTGCATACTCTCCTATGCTTGATTCTAGCTTCTCTACCCAAATTGTGCCCTTAAGACTAACATTAGTAACATCAATCTTCTGTTCATTATTGCTGTAGGTCAGAACCATATTTAAGTGGTTAACTATACAGTGCCAGTAGTTTATATTAAAGTGGCAGAGGACAATTCTTAAATTCTAGTCTGTGGAACTTTGGAAAACCTGCAATTTTCAGGGAATGATATGGCAAGTGGTTAAGAGCACTGGCTGCTCTTCAGAGGACGTGGGTTCCATCCCCAGCACCCACATGGCAGCTTACAACCATTTCTAACTTTAGTTTCAGAGGATTGGATGCCCTTGTCTCACCTCTAGGGGCACCAGGCACGCACGTGGTGCACAGACATACATGCAGGCAAAAACCAATACACTTAAAATTAAAATAAATTACTTTAAAAAGGAGAGCTTGCTAATATTTTATTGAGTATTTTTGCATCAATGTTCATGAGGGAGACTGGTCTGTAGTTCTCTTTCTTTGTTGCATCTCTGTGTGGTTTGGGTAACAGGGTAAAGGCTCTGCTGACTCCCCATGGGAGAACTTGCCTTGGAAGAGGTGGGAATAGGGGGTGGGTTGGGGGCAAAGGCTGGGGGGCGGGAGGAGGGAGGATAGGGGAATCTGTGGTTGATATGTAAAATGAATAGAAAATCTCTTAATTAAAAAATTATTTAAAAAAGAGAGAGCTTGCAGGATTTATTGCATTGTATATACAATAAGAACAGTATTTTTTTCCTGAATATATTTCCTGAGTTTAAAACTTAAGTCTAGAAAAGGGGGAGGGGGGAAGGAGGGAGAAGACAAAGTAACTTGACTGTATTTGTGTTGGCGTCAAAGAGAATACAAATACTATTAATTAAAAAAGAAGCCAACTTTAAAAAGTTGGAAAAGTGACATAAACTTTACAATCTAAAGCAGGCAAGAGGACATCAACGTCAAGGTCTTGGAATCAAGACTGACGACCCGAGTTTGACCCCAGAACCTACTTGGGGAGAGGAGGAACGAACTCCTAGACACTGCCCTCTGACTTCACACATGGCAGAAATGTGCCTACACACATACAGCCACACAAAATAAAATTTACATAGTAGAAGAAAAAAAATTCTAGACCTAACAGTGAAATATAAAGCACATATAGGAAGGATACTCAGATGAAAAGGTAATCCACAAACGGGCTCTCAATTCAATAAGAGGGAAGGAGAGAGGGAAGTGTTGATAACACCTGGAAAACTGCTCAACATCTTTACATCTCCACAAGGACGGAGACACAACAGAAACAAGTATTGGCAAGAGTGCAGCCAAAGTGAGCGCACCTTTACACACTAGGAAAGAGTGCAGCCAAAGTGAGCGCACCTTTACACACTAGGAAAGAATACAACCAAAGTGAGTGCACCTTTACACACTAGGAAAAAGTGCAGTCAAAGTGAGCGCACCTTTACACACTAGGAAAGAGTGCAACCAAAGTGAGCGCACCTTTACACACTAGGAAAGAATACAACCAAAGTGAGCGCACCTTTACACACTAGGCAAGAATGTACACTGTCCTAGTTGCTTTGAGAGACATCTGAGAGTTATTCACAGGTAAAGCAAAGTGACCACATGATCCAACAACTTCATCCAACAGAAGTAAGAAACCTATGACGCTGTAAAAGCCTGTACACAAAAATTTATAGTGCAATTCACAATACAAAGTAGAAAGCATGCAAATGTATGATTTCTACAATTAAACATTATCCAACAATAAAAAGGAAATGCCCAGGGTATGGTGGTTCCTGTAATTCCAGTACCTGGGAGGCTGAGCCAAGACCTGCAATTTTGAGGCTGCACTGGGCTACTTGGTGAGTCCAGGCTAGCCTGAGTTCCAGAATGAACTACTGTTTCAAAACAGAACAGGAGCCAGTGGGATAGCTCAGCCGGTAAAGGCTCGCTGTCGAGTCTGATAACTTGAGCTGACTTCTGGAACCCCCCTCGGTGGAACGAGAGAAGCCACCCTCAAGTTGTCCTCTCATTTCCACAAATGAACCAGGGCGCATGGCTACCCCCAACCCCACAGACATGATAATTTTTTTAAATTGGAGAAAAAGTCCCAATATCCGTTTTACCAACATTAATCTTTAAAGCATCGTGTTTAGCGCAACTCTCTGCCAGTCATATTCTTCTATTTATATGAAATGTCCAAAATGGACAAATTAGTAAGAAAGGGAGATCAAAGGTTTTCCAGAGCAAGAACAACTATTGGTGGACATGGCCTTTTTCCTGGGGTAAGGAAAATATTTTCAAGTTAGACAGTGGTGATCACTGTACAACTCTGGATTAACTAATATCCACTGACTTTTACACTTTAGAAGGGTTTAATTTCTATCATGAGCCATGTGAATAAAGTTATAATTTACAAAGTGCTGTGATGATACACAGTATTAGTTATTTGAAGAAATTCTTCTTGAAAAGTTAAGTTTGGATACTGAACAACAGGATGGGAGAGCCTGGCACAATGGTGCACAACTTTAACCCCAGCACTTGGGAAGCAAAGGCAGGTAGATCGCTGTAAGTTCAAGGCCAGCCTGGTCTACATAGAGAGGTCCAGGCCAGCCAGGGCTATACAGTGTGACTCTGTCTCAAAAAAAATAAATAAATAAAAATGTGGGTGGTAGTGGTGCTGAGAGATGGCTCAGCAGTTAAGAGCATTTGCTGTTCTTGCAGAGAACCTGGGTTCAGTTCCCAGGTCCCACGTGGCAGCTCAAAGCCATTTGCTAAAACCATAGTTCCAGGAGAACTAATGGCACTCTTCTGACCTCCAAGGTCCCAGGCATGCTCATGGTGTACGTACATACATGTAAGCAAAACACTCATGCACATTTAAAAAAAAAAAAAAAAAAAAAAGAATCTAATCTTAAATCTTACAGTACTTCAGAACTTACCTTTACTATAAAGAGCTTTATGTACTTTTGAAGGCTTCTCCACTGTTGAAGATGCCGAGAATCCAGGAGGTAGTCGGACGTGAACCAATGTCAGTGTGTTGGGCCGAGCTGATGGCTGTCTGAATGGACAAGTGCTGAAATACAACCTCACACCTGATGAGGGGTAAAGGTATGCATCAGTAACAAAAAGTAAGGACCAGAAGTACACGTGTAGTGAGGAGACTTCACACATAAACACAGACTGCTGCAAAAGCACACATCACTGTCCTCACTGGCCTGAAATCACAGATTAGCAATTTAAACAAATTTCTAGAAAATGTCACAGAATTGAGTAGTGACTTAATAAGTTCTATAGCAAGAGCTTGTGACAAGTCAAGGGAACCTGTGTCTCAGCTAAGGCTCTGTCACTAAAAACAAGCCACGTCACTTTACAGGTCTGGTTACACATCACAGTATGAGTAGGGAAACAGCATCTCCCATTTAAAAAAAATAAATAAATCCTCATTTTATGACTTCTCAGCATAGCTTAATAACTAATGAAGGAGGGAAAACGTTTCTGATCATAAATTTCCAAACCAAATATCATCAAGTTCGTAACAGGCACGGCAGATATAGAAACAAACGTACCTGCGTGAGTGACGGCCAGTAACTGACAGTCCAGGGATTCAGAGTTTTCAATCACTGCTATCTGAACAATCGGCTTAAAAACGGAACGATCAATAGTCCTACAGGAAACAAAACCCAAGTGCATTTCTAGTTTATAAAGTCAAGTCTGAGGCAGGTATGGTGGCATGTGCCTTTAATCCCAGGACTCAGAAGACATAGCCAAGGAGATCTCTTTGAGGTTGAGGCCAGCCTGGTCTATGTACTTAGTTCCAGGACAGCCAGAGATATAATAGAGGCCCTGTCTCAATCAATAAGATTAACTCCTTAGAAAGTAACATAGTAGCAGTAGGAAGTAACAAGACTCCAGTATATGTATAGTTAAGACTAGCCCTCTTCTCAAACCATTGAAAAGACCATGTAAAAAGGCTAAATAAACCCAAGGAATCAAATCACCACTGCAGCAATCACTACTGATTAAAAGAGAGAAAACAGATCTCTGTCACTAGGAGATAAATAATGGAGAAAACTTTGAGTGGGGAATGGACATTAAGCGCCTCCAGATGCAGCAATGTAATTATTTTATGTAACCTGTGTGTACTGGCTTAGAAAAAGAAGTGAGAGCCGGGTGTGGTGGTACACACTTCTGATCCCAGTGCTGGGGAAATGGACAGGAAGATCAGCAATTCAAGGTCAGCCTGGATGACAGGAAGCTTTAGTTTTAAGAAACAAAACATTACTACTGGAAATTCAATAGATTGGAAGACAAATTGAGAGATTGGAATATTTTATAAATAACTCCTGTACCTTCCTCCCAAATGTCAATATTATGAAAAATAGAAGACAATGAATGAAGAGCGTTCTGTATTAAAAAGACTAAAGACCAATATAATTCATAAATTCTAATGGTAGAATTTGGAGAGAAAAAAAAAGTCTTAAGAGTTTTTAGAGCTGTGCTGGCTTTTGCAGCATATTTATTCAAATTGGAATGATGAGAATCACATGACCACTGTACAAGGATGATATGCAAATTCATACAGTATTCTGTATTGAGAGAGAGAGAGAGAGAGAGAGAGAGAGAGAGAGAGAGAGAGAGAGAGAGAGAGGAGCCATACTTTACAGGCAAAACAGAATCTAAGTCAAGAACAATAAAAAGAAACAAAGCCAAATTTTAGAACTACTGGGAAATTAAATGTTTACTATGTAATTACATAGTCACAATAGTTCAACTTCCTTCCTTCCATTTTTTTTTTTGGTTTTTTCGAGGCAGGGTTTCCCTGTGTAGTTTTGGTGCCTGTCCTGGATCTGGTTCTGTAGCCCAGGCTGGCCTTGAACTCATAGAGATCCACCTGGCTCTGCCTCCCGAGTGCTGGGATTAAAGGTGTGAGCTACCACTGCCCGGCTTTCTTTCTTTTTTTTTTTTTTTTTTTTTTTGGAGACAGCATCTTACTATGTAGTCATGGCTGGTCTATGACTCACAGAAATCCACCTGTCTCCACCTTCTGAGTGCTCCACCATGCCTGCTTGCTAATTTTCTGCAAAGTGACCACAGTACTTACAAGAAAATGGAAGCGGAAAGACATGATACCCTCACTTTACTTGCTTCCAAAAGTCTTGGTTAGTCAGAAGGTTAAGAAACAGGCAAACACTAGCGACTGGGGAGTTTAGATAGCTATCCCAAATCATAACTGGTCGGTCGGGATACAATACACAGTTGGGTTCTTTATCAATTCAATAGTTTTGAGACAGAGTTTCCCTGTGTAGCCCAGGCAGCCTCAAAGTTAAAATCCTACTGCCTCAGCTGCCAGAGTCTAGGACTAGATACAGACCACCACACCCAGGGTAGTACATGACTTTTTAACATGCTGTTCATTTCCTTGTACATTTGGCAATTTTTCCAGAAGATAAAGAAAAAGGAAGCCCATTTTTCTAATTGTTTGCACTCAGAATATACATTTCTGTAATTAATAAGCAGGAAAAGCTGAAGATTTTCATTATGACATCTGATCATTGCAATTACCCATGTTTATACACAATCTAAACTGAAAAGTTGAGACTTCTATTATAAAGTGAGGAGAATGTCTACAGATCACTAAGGAATTTGGGACGTATTCAACAATCAGTGTAGAGTCCAATACAGAAGTCCTTAGATTCCAGGTTGGGTTCTAGCTCTTTAAGAAGGCAAAGGAAGCCACTGTATCACTTAGTTTCTGTTTTGTCATGAATTAAATGAGGATATTACAGCTATGAAATTCTACCTTGTACTATGTAGGCCTGTTGCAAGAGTAGCTGGCCTGTGTTATCTTCTATAACACCTATAACATTTGCAACAATGAACCTGAGCTTTAAGTTCCAAGAAAAAAGGCTAGAGAGTCAGCTAAGTGGCAGAATGCTTGCCTGGTCTGTGGGAGACCTTGGGTTTGATTCTCAGCACCTTTGGAAAAAAAAGTCCAAGAGAGAAGAACACAAAAAACTATACTTCACTCAGTAAGACATACCACCTTATGTTTTGAACCAACATGAGACAGTCTATAGCAACAATGTTTCAAACACAATTTATTATGATATTCCTTAACCACTCATCTTTTAGAGATGTTTGAAGGCCTAATTTAATCTTAGTATAGTATATATAACATATATGTGCTATGTATATATACAATATAATGTATATACTTATGTATACATATGATATATACTTATATATAGTGTAATATGTATGTATATTCATATCTGCAATGAAAAGTTGACAATAAAGTACATATTACCTAGCAATGTTTCCAGCAGCAGAGACAATGGCATTCTGTGAAACTGAGGCAACTCTACTCATCCCCTGCCCATCATGGCCCAAATCATAAACCTGTGAATAAAAAAGTGCTCCTTTAGATACAATTACATAGCATAATACATTATATTAAACCTGACTTGTTCTTTTAAAGAATAATTTGGTACTTACTAGACAAGGAAACATCAGGATGTTTGAAATCTCAGCAAGTCAAACAAACAAAAAATGGCCTAAGAAATTGTTTGAGGTGTTTATCAAAAAAACACACAGTTGAAGCCAGGTGTGGCGGTACACACCAGTAATAACAGATACTTGGGAGGTAGAGGCAGAAGACTTCAAGATCATCCTTGGCTACAAAGCAAGCTTAAGGCCAGCCTAAACTACAAGAGAATTTGTCTCAAACAACAACAAAATTCACAGTACACAGGTAAGTTTGAGTGACTAAATTGTCTTCATAAAACAGGGATGTGCCGGGTGTGATGGTACACGCCTTTAATCCCAGCACTTGGGAGGCAGAGGCCAGCCTGTCTACAGAGTGAGTTCCAGGACAGCCAGGGCTACACGAGAAACCCTGTCTCAAAAAACAAACAAAACAAACCAAAAAAAGCAAAGCAAAACAAAACAGGAATATAAGCAGTAAGATAATTCACTGGCTAACGGCACTGGCCACTGTAAGCAGTAAGATAATTCATTGGCTAATGGCACTGGCCACTGTAAGCAGTAAGATAATTCACTGGCTAATGGCACTGGCCACTATAAGCAGTAAGATAATTCACTGGCTAACAGCACTGGCCACTACCAGCTTGACAACTTGAATTCCATCTCCAGAAACTATGATAGAGAGAGAGAACGACTCCTAAAGCCCTCCACCTCCACATGTGAGCTGTGTCACACAGGTGTGCATATGCACATGTACACACACACACACACACACACACACACACACACACACACACACAGTAATTTTTTAAGAAATAAAACAGGAATGCTTTTCTATTTTTAAATAGTAGCAAATATGCATATTTACCTGTATTACTCCTTTCTCCGATCGTGTATACAAAATATTTCTGGAATTATCAATTTCAATTTGAACAATAGGATCTAAAAGTAAAACAAAAGAAGAAAACCAAACCCTGAGGATCATCAATTGAACACAGGGTCCATTCACAACAAATTAAAACTGATGATTCAGGATTTACACTCTACTCCCTTGCTTGCTTATTAAAGTCTACAATATCTGCATAAGGACCAAATTAGGGAACACAGTCAAGGGCAGCACAAATAACTTACTTCATCAGGTAAGGTACTGGATGCTGTTCTCCAGTAATCCTAGCTTGTAGGAGGCAATGGCACAAGGACTGCTTAGAGTTTGAGAAATATATTACAGCCGGGTGGTGGTGGCGCACAACTTTAATCTCAGCACTGAGGAGGCAAAGGCAGGCAGATCTCTGTGAGTTCGAGGCCAGCCTTGTCTAGGAGCTAGATCCAGGACAGCTAAGGCTGCCAAAGAAGCCCTGTCTCAAAAAATTAAGAAAAAGAGAGAGAAATATATTAAGAGTTACCAAGACAGGCTGCGCTATATAGCAAAACTCTGTCTTAATACAAAACCAACTTATTTTGTCTTCTAAATTAATTTTTAATTTTTAAAATTTTGTTTTCAGACAGGGTCTCATCATGTAATTCTGGCTGGCCTCAAACTTGCTATGCAGCCCAGGCTGGCTTTGAACGCCCAAAAATTAACCCGTCTCTATACTGGGATCAGAGGTATGTGCCACCATGTTCAGTTTAGATTATTCCTTCATCCAGTAATACTTAAATTATTTATTATATGCTAGAAAAACAAAGACTACTACATTTCTAATTTTTCAAGGACATCTAGGTGGGAAAATACCACAGAAGGGATGGAGGGACAAGTTAGGGTAAAGAGCACATACTATTGCTCTTGCAGGTCTGAGTTTGATTCCTAGCACACACACACACACACACACACACACACACACACACACACACACACACACACACACATATACGTATATACATAGGCCCATAACTTCACACCGATATACACCCATAAATAAATTTAAAAAGAAAGAAGGTGCCACGATGAAATCTATTACTCAACGTACTAACTTAAAAATACACAACATGCTCCATAAGACTGTGTCACTTCACCAGTGGCAGCCACCGCAGTCTGTGTAAATAAATAAATAATCTGTTAGCACAGCGACAACACTAACAGAACGCACACACAAGTGAAGGGCTCGTGACTAAAAGTTCAGTCATACAACTGTTTTTAAGTTCCAATGCCTTACTTCACTTTAAAGCACCTTAGAATTATTCCACCTGCTTGTTTCTAAGTTGGTTAAAACTCAGGGATATATGCCAAGCAGTGGTGGTGCATGCCTTTATCCCAGCACTTGGGAGGCAGAGGCAGGCGGTTTCTGAGTTCGAGGCCAGCCTGGTCTACAGAGTGAGTTCTAGGATAGCTGGGGCTACACACAGAAACCCTGTCTTGAAACACAAACAAACAAACAAACAAACAACAACCCCCTGCCCCAGATATACATTTGAACTGGGAATTAATTCTAGACCATTTATCATATGTAAATCTGTCTCTCTTACTTGTGCATATATGCAGAGACAGACCACACACACACGTTTTGAGGGAAAGGCATTTGGGGCGCATGACCCAGGAATGACCCTAAATCTGCAGAAAATAATTGGAGATTAAAATCTACATTTTTCTGTTTTATAATGCTTCTGCTCTCTGAGACACCTAACAGACGTAACAAATACAACTTAATATGACAAGTATTTTAACAAAGCATGCACATTTCTGAAGAAAATGTTAACTCTGGAAGTACCAAAAATCTGTTTTATTTGCCCAATTTGTTTCCTACTTACCATCTTCTGAGAATGTGAATTGAAGCAAGGAAGGCACAAGGAAGGAGAGTGAGCTCTTTGAGTGGTTGATCTTCCTACATCTTTGACTGAACCAGCCTGCCTCTGCCTTGGAGAAAAACAATACAGGACCTGTAAAGTCATATAACAAACGACTGTACCCACGCTCGTTAAAACCTCTAAGTCGGGCTGGAGAGATGGCTCAGAGGTTAAGAGCACTGGCTGCTCTTCCAAAGGTCCTGAGTTCAATTCCCAGCAACTACATGGTGGCTCACTACCATCTGTAATGAGATCTGGTGCCCTCTTCTGGCCTGCAGGGATGTGTGCAGGCAGAACACTATATACATAGTAAATAAATAAATTAAAAAAAAAAAACAAAAAACTCTAACTCTCCACAAATCACCAGTGATTTTAAGTACAGCGAAACATACCTTTCAAAATTAACTACAGATCATTCTATGAGTAAATATCTCCTAAATACAACAAATGACTTTCAAGACATATTATTCAATGAAAAGCCAATTGGGAAAATAACTAATAGTAACCTAAGTAAGGACATACATTTACAAAAGTATGCTGTCTGCTAGTGTATACACACACACACATGTAAATAGGTATTTACTCATGTGTGTATAAATACACATATACCAATGTCAGTATCATGCTTTAAAACAGTGATTCTCACCCTTTAATATAATTCATGTTGTGGTGACCCCAACTATAAAATTATTTTTGTTGCTACTTCATAACTGTAATTTTGGTGGTTACAACTTGTACTATAAATATCTGACATGCAACCCCAGAAGGGGGTCATGACCCACAGGTTGAGGATCATTGCTTTAAAACCACATACCAAGCAGACTATCACAGTGAGGAAACTGTGATGCAGTTTACAGACACGGTGCCTGTCTAACATTTGTAAAGCTCTGAGCTCAAGTTCCAGAATACCCACATCTGCCCCAAGAAAGAAGGGTTTTACCTAGGAGGGAGACTGGGTCTCATGGGTACAGAGTAGTGATAGTAGACTGTAGTGTATTTTCCTTAATAATATACATAGCATGCAATTAGAAAACTGAACACAAGCTTTTCTTTTCCTCTTCAAGAGAGATAGAAAAAAAACAAAACAAATACGTAAATGTTAAGGCTTACTTGGTATGCTACTTCATACAAACAGCCATCCTTTCCAGCCAAAAAAATCCTGCCACTATCAGTGGAAGTGATTGTTAACAGGTAAGTGTTATCCGTTGGGAGAGAATACAAAGGATCCGGAAGCAGTTGCATCCCACCACACATACTGTCATTAAGAATGCCGGAACCTGTAAGTTTCCAACAAGAAAAAGCGGGGAACAGTTTCTTAGCTTTCTGAAGTTTAAAATGATGCTCACAGTATCTTGAGAACTGGTAACTTTACTGAATTCCTACCAAAACATCCCAAATGCCTACAACATGTTTTATAAAGCTACCATAAAAGCTTGAGGGGCTGGAGAGATGGCTCAGTCTCAGGGGTTCTTGTAGAGGACCCCTGGGGTTCAGTTCTCAGCACCCAATGGCCAATCACAAATATGCCTGTAACTTAAGTCCTAGGGGATCTAACATCATCTTCTGACTTCCTCAGGCTCCAGGCACACACACACAGTGCATATATATACATTCAGGCAAAACATTCATACACATAAAATAAAAAGAAACCTTGCCGGGCTGTGGTGGCACACGCCTTTAATCCCAGCACGGGGGAGGGGGTGGGGGGAGGTGGGGGGGTAGGGGGGGTAGAGAGGCAGGAGGATCTCTGCGAGTTCGAGGCCAGCCTGGTCTACAGAGTGAGTAGGGTTACACAGCAAAACCCTGTCTCAAAAAACCAATAAATAAATAAATACATAAATCTTAAACAAAACAGTTTAGCACAGCAGCCAGGAATGTGGCTCAGTAGGAAAGTGCTTGCACTCTATATGTAAGTCCCTGAACTCAATTCCTAGCAGCGCACGCACACACACACACACACACACACACACACACACACACACACACACACACGAACGCACACAAAGCTTCACTAAAGATAATTTGATAATTCATCTTAAACTACACCTATAGTACACATACTAATCATATAGCAAAATATCAAGAAAAACAAACCTAAACTCACGTGAGGATTTAGTACTGAAAACCATTATAATACTAACTTTCAACACATTATTATTTTCAAAAACCTAGCATTTGAGTGGGTTACCATACCTGTCTGTACATTAGCATAGCTGAGTCCAAGAATTACTATATCCACAGGGGTTGCCAAAACCAGCAGGTGTCGTACATGAGGTTGAAAGATGCCTGCAGCAAAACAGACAAAGGTAAATTATCTTCTGAAAACCACAGCATTTAACATGAATAAAATACAGTTATCTAGTAAAGTGAACTCTTAAGTAGACAGCAAAAGTCTGAATGCGGGTGAGCAAACTGTGATGTTTAAATATTACTGTTAGAGCATTAACGTACATAAACAGTAGAAAAGAACTAACAGGAAATAATTGGTTCAACAGTGTCATTTAAAAAGTGTAGCACACACATGCAGTGCAAACATTATCTAGCCACACAAAAGAAGTAAATTTTGAGGACAGCATTTGAGGTAGCCCAGGTTGGCCTCGACCCTGTGATTTAGCTGAAGATGACCTCGAACTGACCCTCCTCCCTCCACCTCCCCAGTGTGGGGATTACAGGCATGAGCCACCACACCTGGCAGAAAAGGAAGGAAATTCGATACCCAACATGCATGATCTGTGAAGACACATTAAAGTGAAGCACGCTGGACACAAAGTAACAAACACTACAGGAAAAAAGCCACTCATGTAGGTAAAGTAGAGTGATCGCTGCCAGGTGTTAGAAGAAAGAATAGGAATTTTTTGATTGAGCCCTTAAAACGTTTGGAGACTATGTGTATATAGTCATAATCTCATTCTGATGGTTTTATTTCTTACCGGCTTTTGGTTTGACAAGCCCCACAGCAAGAATTGTCTCACTGAGTCCATCAAAATAGGCAAGGTCACCTCTGGTCAAAATAAAGAAAACATGTTTATACATATATGGATATATACATAAATTAAACCTTATTCACAATGCTCTTATTAGTTGAATAAACTTGGATATAGAACAGACACAGCAAACAAAACTAGCGAAGGATCAAGGCCCAGGCACTAGACCTTTCTAGGGATAAACTAGAGCAACATTCTAAACATCTGATCTGTCCGACTGGGCTGCAAGTATTGTCTGCCAAGTTAACACTCATCTCCTGCTGAGACAGGGAAGCAGTGTGGAGAGGACTCTGGGAAGGAGCTCAGAAAACTTAAGAGGAGACTAGGAAAAATTCTCCAGTGTCTAATCTACATCCTAGTGCAGGAAAAGTATAAAGGAATTTAGAAACCCATGCTACTTAAGTAACTACAGCAACAAACAAATCCAAATCCACCTGAACTCTTACCCTGGAAAAAAGCCAACTCTTGCCACAATAAAGGTCTACCCACTGAACCCTAGTTAAAGAGGAGGCATATCCATGTCTCAAGACAATAGTAAGTATTTGTTAAATGAATGAGTGTTAGATTTGAATAGAAAAGTAAAAATGTCACTAATATGAAGACTTTTTAGAAACATCACATTCATAGACCATTTCTAATGACTAAAACACCCATCTAGTTAAATATAGTTTTGGGGTTTTTTTTTTTTTTTTTGGTTTTTTCAAGACAGGGTTTCTCTGTGTAGTTCTGGTGCCTGTCCTGGATCTCACTCTGTAGACCAGGCTGGCCTTGAACTCACAGAGATCCTCCTGGCTCTGCCTCCCAAGTGCTGGGATTAAAGGTGTGCACCATCACTGCCTGGCTTAAGTTGTCATATGGTATGATTTTGATGCAATTAAGTCTTCTAAATATGTGTTCATATGCACATGCATCTTTCTAAAAGGAGCATTAGTTATTCAATGCAAGAGTAACAGCTTAACTACATGGGCCTTCTATGACATTTCCTATTTCAATAAGGATAACATAGATGACTCAAATAGGTAACTGAGTAACTGAACTATGAAGTGGAAATAACAGAACTTACCTCTAAAGGCCAAGTGAGCTAATCAGATCAATATATTACTCTATTTAAAAAACACTGACTTTGGATTTTATATATTCTATATATTTAATTTACACACAGTCAAAAACCATGAAACAACCAAATTACCATTTCAATAATTATCAGCTTCCTAGTCCATAGAAATGCAAGGAAAAGGAGTCTTTTTTAAAATGTCACCACCAGGGCCCACATGGTGGAAAGAGAATAATTGAGTCATGCAAATTGTGTTCAGACTGCCACATATATCCTGTGGTACACACATCCACACACCTAAACCCATGCCCCCCCACACCCATGTACACAAAAGAAATAAAATATAATCAAAAAATAAAAAATGCTAAATAACGGCTCAAAAATATCAACATATTATAATCTTTTCTATAGACAACAAACTTGGAATTTATGCCTTGGAAGGTGGGGCTATAACTCAATGAGAGAACACTGGCCTAGCATGCATGAGACACTAGGTTTAATCCCAGGATTTCAAACAAGCAAACCAACTGACAAACAACAAAAACCAAGAGCAGTACTTTGGTTGGGGAATGTAGCTCAATGGTAGAGTGCTTGCCATGAGTAGGCTGAGGCAGTACTTGGGCCAAGAACATGGTCTGAGAAATTGTTACAAATAGAATCCACATTGTGTATATGTGTGTGTGCATGTATAAAAGCCAGGGGTTAGTCAATGTTAGGTATCTTTTTTCATTTCCCTGCCTCTGCCCCTCAAGTGCAGGGGTTACATGTGTACAGTCACGTCTGGCTCTTATGTAAGTGTTGAGGATCTGGGCTTAGGCTCACCTGCTTTCCTAGCAAGCACTTTGACCACTGAGACATCTCCCTAGCCCCCAAAGCCACATGTCAATGCCCCCAGATGACCGGTATGCATATTGGGAAACACTGACCCAGACAAGATAAATAAAAGGTAAAATCAGACAGCTTCTGACAAGCAGAACACTACCTGCAACAAGCAATAACGGTTAACAGAATTCCAACTCAGCCTTCCATACTTACCCATCTTCATAGTTCCACATGAATATGTCACTGTCAATTGTAAGCCAAGCTCTGCTGATGGGAGGAAAAACACCCATCATGCAGTTACACTGCATATCTGAGGAAGCATGAATGTAAGGTCCAAAGAACTTTATTATTTTTTTCTCAATGTGTTCAATAGCTTTTGACTTAAAACTTATGATTAAAAAATGATCTCTTGGCTAGATGTGTCACTCGGTGATTCAGCGCTTGCCTGGCATGCATGAGGCTCCTGTCCACCCACATTCCTTCTTCTCTCCCCTTTCCTTTTTTCAAAAATAATTTTATTTATTGTGTGTGTGTTTTATCCTGTTTGTCTGTGTACCATGTGTGTGCCTGGTACCCATGAAGGCCAGAAGAGGGCCTTGGAGCTCCTGGAACTGGAGGTACAGACAGTTGTGAGCCACCAAGTGTGTGCTGGGAATCTAATCTGGGTCCTCCGCAAGAGCAGACAGTGCTCTTTACTGTTGAATTATTTCCAGCCGATAAAGACTTTTCCTTTTTCTTGAGACAATCTCACTTAGCTCAAACTGGCCTGGGAACTGCAATCCTCTTGCCTTACCCTCATGATGGCTGGGGTAAGGATGTATTATCATGCTTGCCTACTCTATTCCTTCCTTCCTTTCTTTTGAGACTAGGTCTCACTATGTAGTTCTGTCTGTTCTGGAACTCTAATGTAGACTACACTAGCCCTGAACTAAAAAAAAAAAAAAACAAAAAAACATTCAGCCTGCCTCTGCCTACCAAGTGCTGGAATTAAAGGTGCATCCACCATGCCTGACCCGTGCTTATCTATTTTATAAGGAAGCAAACTACCCAGGCACTCCTTTTGAGGTAAGGCCTTATTATATAACCCAGGTTGGCTGCAAGAGTGCCATAATCCTCCTGCCTCAACCTCTTGAGTACTGGCATTACAGAATATATGCCAGTACCCAAGACTGAAAATTTTGGGGGAAGTGGGTAATGATGATTGAACAGCTGGGCCTCGGGCATGCTAGACAGATGCTCTACCACTGAGCTTTATGTGTGGCTCTGAAAACTCATAAATAACTTATAAACATTATGTAAACATAGAACAGGAATTATAATAAGAACACTAATCTAATATTTATAAACTAGCTAAACAAAAAACAATAGGATACGTCCAAACTGTTCAACCAGCTCAGGTGGGAGGGGCACTCTTCGGATAGTGCTGATCTCTGGAAGGCTGGGTACGGACAGCAAACCGGGTCCTTGCAGAGGGTAATCCATATCAGACATTCCAGAAACAGTGGGACAGTCTACAAAGAATAAAATGAAGCATTTATATACATCAGTAAGGTACCACTCATCAACTAGACTAGATAAACAATTCAAGCTGCCTCCACCTCACCCCACTACAGATGTCTCTGAAATTAAGGAGTTCTGACCTGTTACAAAAGTAGACCTGAGAAATCCCATTGTTACAGGATGGGGCAGTTACTGGTTTCAATCATGAGGGAAGGTTATCAAGATTGGGGATGGAGCTCAGTTAGCACAGTTCTTGCCTAGCATGCATGAATACCTGGCTGTGATTCCCAGCTCAGCAAAAACTGGGCATAGTGGCATATGCCTGTATTCCTGGCACTCAGGAGGTGAACACAAGAGGATCAGGAGTTCAAGGTTATCCTTGGCTACAGTTAGAAACCAGCACCAGTTATATTAGATCCTGTCCTAAAAACCAAAACAAGGTCCAAACCAAACAATCCATTCTTTTTCCCTTCGGATTTCTCCTCCAGCCCAACAGTAACATACAAATAGTACCCAAAATGCAATATATTATTGGGAGTTGATGGGGATCACAGACTGTTCTCAATAAGGAATTCTTATTGTGCTTCTTTCTCTTGCTCTATGACTCAGAGCCTAGGGGCAGGAGTGGGCTGGTCAACTTAACTTGTCCTTCAGGGTCCTGAACACTAGACCTGCTGACAACTCAAAAATTCCACGCACCTTATCAGGCTCTAGTTCAGAATACATAGATTTTGGGAGAAACTGACATTAAATACTGACTACCATGGCTGAATAATCATGGGTATGCCTCCCGAAACATGGTTCATTCACATAACTGTTCACTCCTCCACGGGATTCTTTTTCTTTTTTTCAAAGTAAATCTTAATCATAAAATACAATTTTGTTTGTTTTTTTAAGACAGGCTTTCTCTGTGTAACCACCCTGGATGTCCTGGAACTCACTCGGTACATCAGGCTGGCCTCAAACTCAGAGATCCACCTGTTTCTGCCTCCCCAGTGCTGGGGTTAAAGGCATGTACCACCACTGCCCACACTAAAATACAACTTTAATACAACAATGCACCTATGAAATGAAGTAGCAATACAAAAAGGATGAATAACTTCTGTGAAGAAGAGAATGTGAATGGTCAAGAAAACATTCACGCCGGGCGGTGGTGGCGCACGCCTTTAATCCCAGCATTTGGGAGGCAAAGCCAGGGGATCTGTGAGTTAGAGGCCAGCCTGGTCTACAGAGCGAGATCCAGGACAGGCACCCAAAGCTACACAGAGAAACTCAGTCTTGGAAAAACAACAACAACAACAACAACAAAACAACAACAACAACTTTCAAAGAAACTAAAGACTTCCTTTTTTGGAGACAGGCTCTCACTGCATAGTTCTGGGTAGCCTGGAACTCACTATGTAAACCAGAATGACCTCAAACTCAAAGAGATCTTCCTGCCTCTGCCTTCTAAGTGCTAAGTATAAAGAAGTGTACTACCATGCCTGGCTTAAACTAGAAACTTTCACTAAGAGTCTGGGAAGAGCTGGGTGGTGGTGGCACATGCCTTTAATCTGAGCACTCAAGGCAGAGGCAGACAAAACTGAGTTAGAGGTCAGCCTGGTCTACAGAGTGAGTTCCAGGACAAGCCAGGGCTACACAGAAAGAATCTGGGAAGAGTCTCTTAGGCAGAGAAAAAATTCTAGAAGGGAAAGGGATTAGTGTGAGGAGAAAGTATATGTAAAAAGATTATACATTTAAGAGTATCAGAAAGCATGGACTGTATATCTTGTGTTCAAATTAAAGGAGACAAATTAAGATGATTGTGGCTAATAGGCCAAATATATTCTATAAGGCAAGCCCATTTCTTAGCAGCTGTCAAGTATTTTTTTCTAGTACTTGCTTCTAGTATTTCTGATTAAAAATCTCTCAAAAGATTTTTATAAATCGTTACCATGTATTGGTCTACTTCATATGGATTATCCTGTTTAAATTACCTCCGTTTTTTTTTTTTTTTTTTTTGGTTTTTCGAGACAGGGTTTCTCTGTGTAGCTTTGCGCCTCTCCTGGAACTCACTTGGTAGCCCAGACTGGCCTCGAACTCACAGAGATCCGCCTGGCTCTGCCTCCCGAGTGCTGGGATTAAAGGCGTGCGCCACCACCGCCCGGCCAATTACCTCCGTTTTTGCTCACCAAGTTTCATCTGTATTTTAACATTTCTCTGCTTTTCTCCAACTTTCACGTCTCAAGAGTCACTTTGTAGCAACTAATGCAGTTCCACAAACCTTTAGCTGGTTACAATTTTTTTAAAGTTAAGGCAAATACTTTCCAGTTATCTCGTTCGTTGACAGACTTTGTTCTACCCTCCCTGTCAGCTGGGCATTCTGACTCCTGTATTTCCTTACTGGTTCGTACCAGCACTTACAAACATACTAACTGTACACATAAGACATGACTGAGAGAACACTGCAGATTTCCAAATTAACTCGTTTGCTTTTCTGACTGGCTCACAACTGATACAAGAAATGGACAAAAATGGAATCTGGATCGGAAGATTCTTCTCATTTGGACTTAATGAGCTTGCTCTTACCTCTTCAAGTATCTACAACGAACAAAGCGCAGACAAGAAAACTGAAAGGGGTTTGCTTGTTCTTAAAAAAAAAAAAAAAAAAATCCAGGAAACCAAGCCCTAAACTCTGAATGTCCTCGCAGGCACCAATGCAGTGATAAGGACTAAGGCAGAGAATCAGACTAGAATCTTTTAGGCGGAGAAACAGGGCGCCCCACGGGCCGGTTCACTCACTTGGGGCGGACACCATGAGCAGCTCCGACAGGTCTGGGTACATGCGGTCTTCTTGCAACTGTCGGTCGATAAGCCTCCCCGCGTTTTCCAAAGCTTCCTGCAGGGAGGCGGCCGACGACGTGGAGGCCGCCATCACCGAGCCCAGCCCAGACGTTGGCATGCCGGCAAGCGCGGACACCACGCTACGAAGATGCTCCAAACCCGAGGCGACCCGAGAGGAAAGCCAAGAGAGCCCAACACTTGGCCTTGGGACGCGCGCGCCAAACGAGAAGCCGGGCGCCAGGTCATGACGCACTTCCGGCTCGTCCTCCTGGGGCCGGGAAGACACTGCTTCAGGAACGGAAAGAGGAAGCCGCCGTGGAGGGGTTTGGACGTTGGCGGAGGGAGGGAGGGAGGGAGGGACGGGGCTGGAGTAGAGTTTGTAGACGGCCTGGGGAAGGAAGGAGGGGAAGGGAAGAGGGGAGGGATCCAGAGGAGAGAGGGGTGGGGCGGGGGAGGAAGGGAAAGGGAGGAGGAGCTGCGGACGCCCGAGCGGGCCTGGGGACGCTTGCGGCTCTGCGGCGCGGCGGTGACCCCGCGCGAGCCGAACCCTGGCCTTGAGCCCCACCCCCGAGTTGGAATGCGGCGACGACGGCTGTGTAGGAGTGCACACATCCGTTACCATAGTGCCCTAAAGACTTCTGACAGTAGTTAGAAATTGGTCCCTGGTTGGGGAAACAGGTTACCTGGGAGCCAAAATTTCACAGCATTCCGAAACAGTGGGGGTAAATGCAAGTTCCTTAGAGTTTTCCCGATGTGCGTGTCTCTGTCATTGGCTTTGGGGCCCGTCATCGTGGCATTTTGGGGTTGGAAGGTCAGGGAGGTGGGGTGTCTTTCGCCTTGAATGTAATAATACTGTATTAGGAGGCTGAGGCAAGAGGATTGCTGTGAGTTCGTTCACAAGGTGAGTTCCAGGTTAGCATGGTGTACAGAGTGTAATCCAGTCGCGAGGGTAGGGGTGGGGGTGGGGAGATAGGTCATGCCTATAATCCCAGAATTTGGGAAGTAGAAGCAGGAGGATAAGGAGTTGAAGATCATCCTCAGCTACGTCTCAAGTTTGTAGTAAGCCTATGAAATTTGAGTCTCTGTCTCAAAAAAAAAAAAAAATGTCTACTGTGTCAGGCATCATGCCTACCCTTGGGAATATCAAACTAATACACTTTTGTCCTTTGAAGCAGTTGATACAGACAAAGTAAACGTGTCATGAAGTCCAGGCATAGAGGCACACACCTCTATTGGAAGCCAGCCTGGGCTATGTAGTGAGACCTGTCTCAGAAACAAAAAGAAAATGAAAATACTATAATGATAGGCTCTGTTGTAGATTTCCTATTGGGGAATATATATATATATATATATATATATATATATATATATATATACACATTTCAGAGGAGCAATTAGAGAGAAGAAAGACTGTCCCCAACAGAAGGAAACTTAAGTAGACAAGGCAACCACCCACCTGCTCAGGGTGTTGTCCCCCATGTCCTTTTGTCCGACTGTCCATGTCCTGTGTCCCGCCCCGTCCAGTCCCATCCCATCCCGTGTCCCCTTGCACTAGGGTTTCTCTGTGTAGCTCTGGCTTTCCTGGAACTTGCTCTGTGGACCAGGCTGGCCTCCAACTCACAGAGACCCATCTGCCTCTGCCTCCGGAGTGCTGGGATTAAAGGCGTATGCCACCAACACTGCATGGCTTTTTTTTTTTTTTTAAGAGACTGGGTTTGACTGTGTCTTGAACTCACAATGTATTCAAATTTACAATCCCCCTACCTCAAGGACCAGAATAGCTGTGATTACAAGCATCATCTAACACACCCAGTCCAAAACATTTTTAAACTTACAGGACTTTGCAAAGGTGTCTTGTTTGTTTGTTTGTTTGTTGGTGTGTGTGTGTATGTGTGTGTTTTGAGACAAGGTTTCTCTTTGTAATAACACTGGCTGTCCTAGAAGTCACTCTATAGACCAGACTGGAGTCCAACTCACAGATATCCACCTGTCTCTGCCTCCCAAGTGCTGGGATTAAAGGTGTGTGCTACCACTGCCCAGCTTTCTTATTGTTTTAATACTGCAGTCCTTAGGCTTTCTGCTAATTCCTGTCAATTGTATATGTACTGGGGAAATCAGCCTGCTGAAGGAGAGATACTTTGAGTCCTGTTTGATTTGAAAAAAAAAAAAGATTTATTTTTATTTATGTGTATGTGTGTCTATGTGAATATATGTCATGTGTGTGTGTGTGCGGACATGGAGACCAAAAGAAGGCATCTGACACCCTGGATCTGGAGTTACAGGCAGATGTTAATCCCAGAGATGGGAGGAGAAGGACCACTAACCCAAATCATAATGACCAAATCAATTAGAGCAAGCAATTAATTAATTAAAACAAGCTTTTTTATTCATGTACACAGGCTGCCTGCCTTTAATGCGGGGTTTGAGAGGTCAGCACTGGATGTGAGGAAGACAAGGCTTTTATAGATTAAGGCAAGGAGGTTTCCAAATGGGGGATTTGGCAGGGAAAATAAATGGGGTTGCAGGAGCAGAACGTAAGTGTAACAAGTTAGTCCCTCCTGAAACAAAGACATGGGTGCAAGATGGGCAAAAGAAGGTAGTCATAATCATAATAGGGTAGTCACATAGCAAAGGTAGGGCTCAAGGTGGTTATAAACTTTTTGAAACAAAGATATTTTATTTTAAAAACGGTGGGAAGGAGTCATAGCGTACAACAGAGCCTATGTGGGAAGTTTATGGAGGGGAGGGGATGAGAAGGAGGAGAGAAGAGACGGAGACCAGTTCCTGGGGATGAGAGTGAGGGAAGAGAAAGAGACAGGAGGTGGGCAAGGCCCGCCTTTTATAAGGAAACATGGCGAATGCGCACAGGGGTTGCTCTTAGTGGCTGCAGCTGAGGAGATATCCTATCAGGACCCTAAGGACAGGCCAGTACAGATGCCTAAATGCTAACATTCTCCCCTTTTGTTTATTATAAAAAGGTGAGGAGTTAGAACGGGGTAGCAGGTGAGGCGGGATGAGGGCGCCATGTTCTCTAGACTGCTTCCTGCTGACCTGGGGGCATCAGTCATCTTTGGGGGACCTGAGAGAGCTGGGGTGCTGGCTAGGGTAGTTGACTGTTTCACTTCACTGTCCAGGCTCTATGGAACTATCTGGTGCTGCTTGGATCTGGCATGATGCTGTTCTTGCTCGAGCTGGATCCAAGTTGACTCCCTGAAGCTCACAAGAAGTCGTGATGAGGTCTATAGCCAAAAAATGGAGGAGAGCCACGTGGTTACTATTAATAGTTACATGCAAATACACACAGAATTAAACAGGAGTTGAGTTAATAAGTGTTGCCTAAAGATCAGGGAACAGAACAAGCCACTACATTAGACATAGAGGCTAGGCAGTGGTGGCACATACCTTTAATCCAAGCACTTGGGAGGCAGAAATCTGTCTGGATCTCTGTGAGTTCAAAGCCACCTGGATTACATGAGATTGACTCAGTCTAGAAGAGAAAACAGAGCCAGGCAGTGGTAGTTACCCTGAATGACAAACACCTTATCCACTGAGCCATCCTGTAAACCCAAGGAACACATTATCTTCACCAATCAGAGAGTACAGACTAACCTTGAAGGACTTTCCTTCTTGCCCAGTGGGTAGAGACTGAAATGGTTTACTGTCTGTCCCTGCCCATCTGATGAATCACCGAGTGTTCAGAAAAACTAATTTTTTTTTTTCCCGAGACAGGGTTTCTCTGTGTAACAGTCCTGGCTGTCCTGGAACTCACTCTGTAGACCAGACTGGCCTTGAACTCACAGAGATCCACCTGCCTCTGCCTCCCAAGTACTGGGATTAAAGGTGTGCGCCACCACTGCCTGGCTCAGAAAAATTAAAATTCTAATGTGCCCCATTTTATCTTTTGACACACCTTTGCTTTTGCTTCATCACTCAAATTAATAGATATAGTGAAATAACTCCCAAATTATAACTTAGAATTATTTATGAAATCGTTTTAATCTCATGGCAGTCTTAAGCAGGTCTGCTGATTGCACTGGGAATCACTGCTTGCGTAGCTTCCTGTTTTGATTAATGAATACATTCATTCTCTTCAAGATAATTAAAAATTGCCCATTACACTTTACAGTTATGTTTATGAAGTTGTTTCACACAAACACAACATCAATAGTTTAATGTGGAGGCTGCTGGTACCAAAATTATTGTCTCTATCATTTATTGTGAGCAAAACCATCTTTTTGTGATGTTTATGGTGATGGGCATCAATTCCAACTGGGTGATGGAATAGCTATTGCCTAGTTTTCTTTTCCCTCAAGAGCTTTGCAGTTTAAAGTTTAATAAAGTTTAAAGTTTCATCTTCTTGACTACTGAGGAACTGAAATAGCTATTTCTGAGTGTAAGGTTATGGTTATATCACGAACTTCATTCATAAAGTTCTACTCTACTAATCTGTGCTCAAGGAAGAGATATTACTATTAGTAATATTTTAATGTAGGCAAAATAAATTAGCCTTACTGGTTGTAGTTCAGGGTGACTTTGGTGGTTAGTAATCTCTTGAGACAGACACAAACCTTGTTGCTACAAATTATATACATCTTGCACAAAGGAAAAGTAACTATTGCCTTCAGAACTATTTTTTTAAGATTTATTTATTGATTATGTATACAGTGTTCTGTCTGTATGCCTGCAGGTCAGGAAAGGGTGCCAGATCTTGTTACAGATGACTGTGAGCCACCATGTGGGTGCTGGAAATTGAACTCAGGACTTCTGGAAGAACAGTCAGTGCTCTTAACTGCTGAGCCATCTCTTCAGCCCCAGAACTATTTCTTTTTATTAATTCATTTAACAAGTGCTCAGACTGCCTGCCCAGCGATTGTACTAGGAAGAAAGACTAAGTTATCACATGGTAGGCGGACTTTATTTAGTTGGAGGTGTATGAAGGTCTACAGATGTTTACAAGAGCATGTGAGGTTTAATTTGATCACTGGATGAGGATGAATGGTAGAATCAAGGGCCCAGAGCTTGGTGAAGAGTCAGAGATTCCAGAACACTGTGTTCTGGGGTTGCTTATTGCACTGGATGGCTGATCCAGTTGAAAATGACAAAGTTGGAATGGAAAGGTTTTGGAAGCCATGCTAACTTTTTGTTTTGTTTTTTATTTTTGTTTTTCGAGACAGGGTTTCTCTGTGTAGCTTTGCGCCTTTCCTGGAACTCACTCTTTAGCCTAGGCTGGCCTCAAACTCACAGAGATCTTCCTGGCTCTGCCTCCCAAGTGCTGGGATTAAAGGCATGGGCCACCACTGCCGGCTTGTTTTTTTTTTTTTTTTTTTTTTTAATTTGTATTTTTGGTGCTTGAGGTCCAACAAACAGCATTGTCTATGCTCAGCAGTCACAGACTTACAGTTCCACCTTATTAACAAGTTTGCCTTTTATTCCAAGGACAATGGAAACATTAGATCATCATTACCGTTTAAGGTGTACAGATAAACAAAACGGAAATAGAGATAGGACATTAATAGTGGAGCTCATGAGTAAATTTTTCAAAGTATTTTCATTCTTGAGTGGACAAGAAGGGTCAGTAGGTAAACGTGTTTTCTACTAAGATTGTGACCTGAGTTCCACCCCCAGTTCCCACAGGGTGGAAGAATAGTTTTTCAAGTTGTTCTCTGATCTCCAAATGCCCACTGTGGCATGCTTATGCCACTTCTCTAATAAATATTTTCACTTGGCTTGGTAACACCTTTACAGACAACACTTAGGAGTAAGAGACAGATGAGTCTCTGAGTTCCAGGCCAGCCATGGGTTACTTAGTGAGATTCCGATTAAAAATATTTTTATTCATCCAAGTATTTCTTTTAGACTTTAAAAATAAAACAAACGACATACCATTAATTCATAGCTTAAGTAAGGTACTAAGTTGTAAAGAAACCAAAATAAATCGGAAACACAGTAGTTAGGTAACATTTGGAAACCTTGCTCAATAAACAAGGCTAGCCTAGCCAGTGGGAGTCTGTGACTGAGGGCAGGCACTTAGAACAGAAGTGGCTTCTTAGAGCTTGAGTTATATCTAGATACTGGTTTCTTCAAGTACACGGAGGAGGTGAGCAACTGTGTGAGCTTCGTCATGTATATCATAGAGGAAAAGTAGCACTCCAAGAACAAGATATTGTTGACTTCTTAGAAGTTCGCGAGCACGGTCACCTCTGCCGCAAAGGCATATCCTGCAAATGGTTTTTTACAGGACCACTCCAGGGTTTGAATGGGGATGCGGTCTCGGCAGCGCGTTCCCTCCTTACCGCTAGGGGGCGAGCGTCCGAAAGCCTCTCTTCCCCGCGCGGACCGGCCTCTCTTGGCGACGCGGACTGGGAGACGGTACTTCCTGTCGGGCTTGCCGGGAGTGGCGCGCTGCTTGCGCGGGTGCTTCTGCCGAGGCTGTGGGGCTCGGTCAGCCATGGAACAGTCGGGGCCCGGCGAAGGTGGGTTCGGCGCGGCCGGCGGGGGTGGTGGGCCGTGCTGGGGAGCCGGAGCGCCGCGCTGACGGCCCGTTTTGTCTTCCCTTTCTTGTACAGTGCCAGGCGCAGACGCGGCGGGACCCGACCCTCAGCTGGCGGTCACCATGGGCTTCACTGGATTCGGTGAGTGCCTGCCCCGGGCAGAGCCCAGCCCGACTTTGCAGAGGGCTTAAGAACTGAAGGTTTAGGAGAGCTGTCACATTTGAGCGGCGTCTTCTGCCGGGCCAAATCCCAGTTGCTTCGGTCCCATTTAATTTGTTGAGACCAGTTCAGATGACATTTGGAAACCTTGACTGAAAGGGTTACTGTTGGGACCCAGTCTGAGAAGGACATTTATTGGTGGCCATTCACTAATATTATGGTGGCTATTTAGTTCCTTTCTTTTGGTTAGTCTTTCTCGTTCAGAATCCTCACTTCAGCCTTTCTGTAAACGCTAGATATGACAAGTTATTAGGTGATTTAAAAAAGTCTCAAAAGAGGAGTAATCATCTGTTAAAAACATTAGTGCTAGCAAAAATCGAGTGGAAATTGTTTTGTAATTTCTTTTGGGAACAAATATCTAGTTCTCATTCATTCATCCATCGATTTACTGTCTTCTAGGACTCTTAAGTAATCAGTCCATAAAAGGGTAGTTACAGTATTTACTTTTCTTTCTGATTTCTTATTTTTAAATGATAAATGGATATATATGGATATATATCATATATATATATATATGTATATATATATATATATATTTGTGAGTGGGTGTTTTGCCTGGATGAATCTGTGCACCACATGCCTGCAGTGCCCATGGAGGCCAGACGAGGTCATTGAACCCTGTGGGACTAGAGTTACAGATGGGTGTGAGCCATCATGTGGGTGCTGGGAACCAAAGCCATGTCCTCTACAAGAGCAGCAAGTGCTCTTAACTGCTGAGCCATCTCTCCATCCTCATCCTCCCCTCCTTCTTTTGTTTGTTTTTGTTTTATGATTTTTTTTTTGAGACATGGTTTCTCTGTGTAACAGCCCTGGCTGTCCTCGAACTCACTCTGCAGACCAGGCTGGCCTTGAACTCACAGAGATCCACCTGCCTCTGCCTCCGAAGTGCTGGGATTAGAGGGGTGCACCACCACCACCTGGCATCCAATCGCTCTTTCTCACTTCAGAAAGTTTAGAGAATTACAAAGAAAAAGAAGTCAAGGCTTCAAAATTAATTTGGTTTTCAGTGTTCCTGTTGCATATTGAAAATGAACATCATACTTATGAGTAAACATTGTTTTTTAAGACAATATTTTGCTAATTTTCATGTGTTATATTCTCCCAAAACGTGATTTTATATTTGATAGTATGAGGAATCAGCAGGACTTCCTGTATGCTAAACCCTTGTTCTGTTACTGAGCTACACTGTTAGCCCCCAACTTGGTTTATTTTAGTATCCAGAGAGTACACTACACAATAAAATTGGTATCACTTAAAATTTTTCCCTACATAATTTCTGGTTTTATATTTTTGTTTGTTGAGGGAGAGTCTGACTATGTATCCCTGGGTGGTCTGAAATTTGAGATTCTCTCGCCTCAGCCTCTCACATGCTGGCATGTAGCTATATCCATCTTTTGAGTTTTATCAATAATGCTAAAAGAATATTTGTGAATGTGTGCATATAATACGTGTGTGACTTGTGTCCAGGCATGTGGAGGCCAGAGGTTGACATCTAATATCTTCATTTGTTGTTTTCTGCTTATATTTTTGTGACAGTGTCTATGACTGGGCCTGGCGTTCACATTTCAGCTGGCCTGGCTTGCCAGGAGCTCCAGGGATCTTCCACTTGGGGTTCTGAGCACTGGGCCTCATGCTTGAGTGTCAAGCACTAACTGAGTAATTTCCCCAGATCCTAACATTTTCATGAATAAAACTATTTTTGTAATCTCCTGAAAAACAGTGTTCTGTCCCTTCTTAAGTAGGGGAATCAGATCCAGTTCTACAGCTTCACCTCTCATGTTTAGTGTTCTTTGAGAACTTCATACTCTATTTATGATAATGTACTAATATTACCAGTTGTATATACATATTTAACTGCTCCTGTCACAAATTGCTGCACATGTAGCACTTTAAAACAACACAAAGGATTGTGGGTTTAGTCTAATGGAGAGCCCTTGACTAGTAAGCATAGGGCTCTAGGTTCTACCCCCAGATCCAATACATAAAACAACCCACAGATTTATTTTCTGGTAGCTTTGGTTTTTCGAGACAGGGTTTCTCTGTGTAGCTTTGGATCCTTTCCTGGAACTCACTTAGTAGCCCAGGCTGGTCTCGAACTCACAGAGATCCGCCTGGCTCTGCCTCCTGAGTGCTGGGATTAAAGGCATGCGCCACCACCACCCGGCATCTGGTAACTTTTTAAGTTGCCAGTTCATGTGAGCTGTATTGATTTCCCTGTTGTAGATATCAAGGCTGAAATCAGTTGTAAACATGCATATACTGTAATCTGGTAGCTTTGTTAAGGACGGAAGTTGCTTTTATGAACAATACAGTTCTTGGTAATCGGATTGAAGTATCTTTGCTTTCTGGCTATCTCTTTCTTAGCTCATTAGAATATCTTAATTCTCATGTTGCTGCCTTTAAATCAGCGGTTCCCAACCTGTGGGTTGCAATCCCTTTGTGGGTTGAACGACCCTTTCACAGGGATTGCATATCTGATATCCTGCATATCAGATATTTACATTATAATTCATAACAGTAGCAAAATTACAGTTATGAAGTAGCAATGAAATAATTTTATGGGTGGGGTCACCACAACATGAGGAACTGTTTTAAAGGGTCACAGCAGTAGGAAGGTTGAGAACCATTGCTTTAAGTCAACTGCAGTGCCTTGATTCCTTCTCAGACTTTGAATCTCTTGAATTCTGACATACTGTTCTTAAGGGCTTCTTTGAATAGAATGGGCTAACTAGGATTGTCCTTCTTTTTATTTTCTTAATTTTTCATACATTTGTTTGAGAGATGGTCTTACTTATCCCAGGCTCACCTTAAACTTGCTGCATAGATAGGGGTGATCTTGCACTTCTGATCCCTTTGACTCCATATTCTGTGAGATTACAGGCATGTGTATGCAGTACTATGGCTCAAACCCTGGGCTTTGTGGTACCAGACAAGCACTGTTGTATTGCATCCCAAAGTCAGATAGTTTTTCTGTCAAAGTATGGGTATTTCTCATTATCTCTGACAGATTAATGTTGTTTCAAGATATAGGCAGCTAGCTAAATTAGGTGAGGATGAGAAAGTTGGCTGGTTATTGTTCGATAGGTTCACAGTCCTAATTTAAGAATCTAAAATTTGTACTTTTTGAGCATTATGTTAGTTCTCAAAAGTTTTGGATTTTGGCTTACTGTGTTGGTGGATATCTGTAATAATCCCAACACTTGGGAGGCTGAGACAGGAGGATTGTGAGTTCAAGGCTAGCCTGTGGTATGATGCAAGGCTATATCTGTGGAAAAACTGACAATAAAAAGTTTTGTATTTTGTCTTTTTTTTTTTTTTTTTTTTTTTTTCCAGAGCTGAGGATCGAATCCAGGGCCTTGCGCTTGCTAGGCAAGCGCTCTACCACTGAGCTAAATCCCCAACCCCAAAGTTTTGTATTTTATATTTTGAATTAGGGATGCTAAGCTAGTAATATCTGTGTATAAATATTCCGAAGTCCAATAAACAAGAAAACAAGCAAACAAACAACTCTTGACACTTGAAACACTCTGGTCCCAAGCATTTTGGGTAATGGTTATTAAACTTGTATTTTTTTCTCCCCTTACTGTTTTATCATTATCTTGGAAACATGCTGTCAGGTAGACAGACTGAGTGGTTATTGATCAGTCAGTAAAACTGAAGTGCCTATATCTGGTCGGTTATGGTGCACACCTTTAATCCCAGCACTCGGGAGGCAGAGGCAGGCAGATCTCTGTGAGTGTAAGGCCAGTCTGGTCTACAAGGTGAGTTCCAGGACAGGCTGCAAGCTACACAGAGAAACACTGTCTCGAAAAACCAAACCAAACCAACAAACAAAACCTGGAGTATCTAGAGCCTCTCTCTGGTCAGCTCGTTGCAAGATAGTCACAGTGATGTTTGTTCTGTTCCTAGGGAAGAAAGCTCGCACATTTGACTTGGAGGCCATGTTTGAGCAAACTCGAAGGACAGCTGTGGAAAGAAGCCGGAAAACACTGGGTAAGAAGCACAGATATTTTCCCTTCTATTGGCTTAAATATTGTTGACAGTGATAAGGCAGAACAAAACTTGTTTTTATTTACAAACATCCATCTTTAATCAGAATTGTTAAGTGATTGTAATTGTTGGTTGCTTTTGAAGCAAAATTTCAAGCATTTATTTTCCGGTTAAAACATGACAAAACTTGTATTTTACTTGGATAAAGAAGGTCTACATACTAGAATCTTGTAAAAGTGTGTTCTATGGGGGCTGGAGAAACGAATCACTGTTTAAGTCACTGGCTGCTCTTCCAGAGGACCTGGGTTCAATTCCCAGCACCCACATGGCAGCTGTGACTCCAGTCCCAGGGGATCTGATACTCTCTTAGGGTCCCTGTAGATAGTAGGCACATGTGATTCATAGGCATAGATGCAGGCTAAACATTCATGCACATAAGATTTAAACAACAGCACAAAATGTGTTTTATGGACAAATAAGGATTCACTATTATTACAATTGATAGGAAGCAGAATAGCAGTTTCTTTATTATCTCTCTTCCCGCCTCTATCTGACTTTCATTTCATTTTTTCTTTCCTGCTTACAGCGGAACCAGTATTTGGAAGGCTGGGCCAGAGGTGGCTGTCACCATTGCTTGTTGACCCAGACAGTATAGAACATTGTGACATGCACTGAATGTGGCTGCTGCTGTTGGCTCCCTGCTTTAATGAGCTGTAGGAGACACTTACTGAAGCCTTATTTCCAGCCTGGCTTGATACCAGATGGTTGGCATTTCTAGGTCCCACCTCAGGGTCTTCAGAGGACATTGGTGCTGTGCTTTCTTTGGATCTAACTCAGATCTTTCTTACACTAGAAGAAGGTCTGGAGTCTGGGAACTACTGGATTTAAATCAGCGCTGTGATAGTACTTGTCATGTTAATGTGTTTCGTCTTGTTTGTTTATTTTCTTGTTTTTGTTTGTAGTTTTGAGACAGGGTCACACTCTGTAATCCTGGGTGACTTGGAACTCCCTATGTAGACCTAGCTGGCCTTGACTTCTGGCAGTGTGTCTACCTCAGTGTCCTGAATGCTGAGATTATAGGAATGAGCCACCAATATCTTTTTTTTTTCTTTTTTTTTTTTTGGTTTTTTGAGACAGGGTTTCTCTGTAGCTTTGGAGTCTGTCCTGGACTAGCTCTGTAGACCAGGCTGGCCTCGAACTCACAGAGATCCGCCTGCCTCTGCCTCCCAAGTGCTGGGATTAAAGGCGTGTGCCACCACCGCCCGGCTCCACCAATATCTTGATCATATCCTAAATTCAATTTTAATGATGGAGATATGGGGATTTTACTGTGTTACCCTGGGTGGGCTTGAACTCATGAGCCAAGTTATCCTTTGGTCTCAGCCTTCTCAGTAGCAAATATTATAGGAGTTCACCACTGTGCCCAGTAGTTGGTTTTGGTTTTGAAGTGATGAATTGTGGGGCTGGGGAGTGATGAAGAGCACTTGTTGTTCTTCCAAAGCACCTGGGTGGCATTCCCAGTACCTACTTGATGGCTCACAACTCTGAACTCCAGTCCCTGGGATATGACGCCCTCTTCTGGCATCTGTGGAGACTGCACATATATGGTGCCCAGACATACATGCAAGCAAAATATTCATACATATAAAAATAATAAATAAAATGCTCAAAAATTAAAATGGTGAATTATTTAGCAGTAACATTTAAAATTTGGTTGGTGAACTTGAAACTAATATCTTTGGAAGTAAGCCTTTTATGTGTGATGAAAAGGCAGTTATGTACATATATAGTTTTTTTGGACAGGCTCTCAATTTAGTCTTGGCTGTCTTGGAACTTGTCATGGAGACCAGATTGGCCTGAAACTTATGGGATGAAAGGCTTGTGCAATCACGCCTATTTTTTTTTAAAGACAAGGTCTTACTATGTAGTCTGAAACTTGGTATGTAGGCTAGGCTAGCTTCTAACTCACAGAAATTTATCTGCTTCTACCTCCCAAGTGGTAGAATTAAAGGCATATGATGCCATACCTGGTGGCTGCTGCTGCTGCTACTACTACTACTTTTTAAAAAAATTTCATTATGAGAAGTTTAAAAACTACAAGTATTACTATTTATATAAGCTACTATAATCATTCATGGCTAGTGTTATTTCTATTTGCTTTTCCTTTCTGAATATTTTGAGGTAAATCTTAGCCATGTTATGTCATCAATAAATATCTTAGTATGTATCTACCCCTCTTCCATTGCCTGCCCCCTCCCACGCAGCTGATTGAACCCAGTTCTTGCATATGGTTAGTCAAGTGCTCTACCAGTGACATACCTCCTTGTTCATGTTTTTTGAGACAGTCTTAAGTCACGTTAGGCTGGCCTTGAGCTCTCAACCATCTTATTTTAGTCTCAAATTTGGGATTATGGGGATGTTCCACCATGTCTAATAGTATATATGTATCTGTCTCCATGGAAAGCTAGACATAGTAGCATGCAGCTCTAATCCCAGTGCCCCTACAGCGAGATGACATGGAGACAGGAGAATCCTTGGAACTTGGGGGCCAACTAGTCTGATGTACTACTCAGTGGCAAAAGAAAAGTACTCTACTTGACAAGGTAGAGGGCAAGGACTGAAACCTGAAGTTGATCTCCGATTTTCATGTGCACTGGGGGTGGGGGGGTGGGAGGGTGCAGAAAAATAACAACTCTTCTGAAAGGATGAACTAAACTGTTTTTCCTACTTAATACTTGTAATACCAGGATGTGTGAGAGTTTCTCATCATAAAGCAAATAGGTGATCTGTTGGCACCAACTGAGTGTCCAGTAATTCAGTTCAGTTTTGATGTCATCTACCTAGAGATGCCATAGGATTTCTTTAATTTTGGATGCTAATCATTGATATAGAATGTGACCTTGTCTGATCCCCTGGGAAACAATTAAGCGGACTGGTTTTTAAGAGTCGAGAGCACTGGTTCTCAGCCTTCCTAACGCTGTAACTCCTTAATACAGTTCCTCATGGTATGGTGACCCCAACCATACAATAATTATGTTACTACCTCATAACTGTAATTTTGCTGCTGTTGTGAGTCATAGTGTAAATATCTGCTATGCAGGATGTCTGATATGCCATTTCCAAAGGGTTTTCGACCTACAGGTTGAGAACCGCTGATCTAGAGGGTCCAGATGAACACCCACAGGAAGTGATTCAGTGGGTTAGGCGGGTGCAGGAGGGATGGGGCTTCCATGCTGTCTCTATTTAAACTCTCCTCACGTGTTCAGCAAGTCTAGATCTATCAACTCTAGTACTTTTCAGAAGTTTTTATAGAATGACTCCCACAGTAGTGGGGCTGGCTAGGGGCCTTCCCTCACTCTAGTGATGTAAATGTTGGTGTGACCAAAAGGGGTCCTAGTAAACAACAAAAGACAGTTCCTGTCATTCAAGAAATCTTAAGGATTTTAGGAACATTAGGACAAAGTGTGTTTTACATTGTACTCTAGTATGTCTGAAAAGGTCTTTTTTTTTTTTAAATTTTTAAAATTTTTTTAATTTTTTTTATTTTTGAGACAATTTCTCTGTGTAGCTTTGGATCCTTTCCTGGAACTCACTCTATAGCCCAGGCTGGCCTTGAACTCGCAGAAATCTGCCTGCCTCTACCTCCCGAGTGCTGATATTAAAGGAATGCACCACTACTGCCTGGCAAAAAAGTCAGTTACAATGATGAAATAAAAACAAAACACAAAACAACCCATGCTATCTGGGTGTATTTGGAAATATTTCAAACACAAAGTTTTTTTTTTTTATTTAAGAAAAATTTTCTATTCATTTTACATACCAATCACAGATCCCCCCTCTTTCCTCCTCCTGCCCCTCCAGCCTCCCTTCCCCCAACCCATCTCCCATTACCTCCTACAAGAAGGTAAGGCCTCCCATGAGGAGTCAGCAGAGCCTGGTACATTCAGTAGAGGCAGGTCTAAGCCCCTCCCCCTGCCTCAAGGCTGTTCGAGGTGTCCTAGCATAGGTAGTGAGCTCCAAAAAGCCTGCTCATGCACCAGGGATGGATCCTGATCCTACTGCCAAGGGGCCCCTTAAGCAGATCAAGCTACACAACTGTCCAACATGCAGAGAGTCTACTAGTCCAGTCCTGTGGAGGCTTCATGAGTTCCCATTAGTTTGGTTTGGTTGTCTCTACATTTCCCTATCATGATCTTGGCGCCCCTTGCTCATAGAATCCCTTTTTTCTCTCTTGGACTGGACTCCTGGAGCTTGGCCTGGTGTTTGGCTGTGGATCTCTGAATCTGCTTCCATCAGTTACTGGAGAAAGGCTCTATGCTGACAGTTAGATTATTCACCAATCTGATTACTGGGGTAAGCCAGTTCAGGCACCCTCTCCTCTATTGCTAGTAGTCTAAGCTGGGGTCATCCCTGTGGATTCCTGGGAACTTCTCTAGCACCCTGTTTCTTCCTATCCCTATGATGTCTCCCTCTATCATGGTATCTCTTTCATTGCTCTCCCATTCCATCCCTGTTCCAGCTTGACCATCCCGTACCCTTATGTTCTCATTGCCCACCCCTCACACCCAGTTTACTCATGGAGATCACATTTATTTTCCTTTCCCAAGGTGATCCATGCGTTCCCTCTTAGGGTCGTCTTTGTTAGCTAGCTTCTCTGGAGCTGTGGGTTTTAGTCTGATTGTCCTTTGCTTTATTATCCACTTATGAGTGAATACATACCATGTTTGTCCTTCTGAGTCTGGGTTACCTCACTCAGGATATTTTTTAGTTCCATCCATTTGCCTGCAAAACTCATGTCATTGTTTTTTACTGCTGAGTAGTACTCTATTGTGTATATGTACCACATTTTCTTAATCCATTCTTTGGTTGAGGGCCATCTAGGTTGTTTCCAGGTTCTGACTATTACGAATAATGCTGCTGTGAACATAGTTGAACAAGTATCCTTGTGGTATGATTGAGCATTCCTTGGGTATATGCCCAAGAGTGGTATAGCTGGGTCATGAGGAAGACCGATTCCCAATTTTCTGAGAAACGGCCATACTGATTTCCAAAGTGGCTGTACAAGTTTGCATTCCCACCAGCAGTGGAGGAGTGTTCCCCTTACTCCACATCCTCTCCAACATTAGCTGTCATCAGTGTTTTTGATCTTAGTCATTCTGACAGGTGTAAGGTGGTATCTCAGAGTCATTTTGATTTGCATTTCCCTGATGACTAAGGATGTTGAGCAGTTCCTTAAATGTCTTTCAGCCATTTGAGATTCTTCTGTCGAGAATTCTCTGTTTAGCTCTGTAGGCCCTTTTTAGTTGGATTGTTAGGTATTTTGATGTTTAGTTTCTTGAGTTCTTTATATACTTTGGAGATCAGCCCTCTGTCAGATGTGGGGTTGGTGAAGATCTTTTCCCATTCTGTAGGCTGTCGTTTTGTCTTATTTACTATGTCCTTTGCCTTATAAAATCTCAGTTTCAGGAGGTCCCATTTATTAGTTGTTTCTCTCAATGTCTGTGCTACTGGTGTTATATTTAGGAAGTGATCTCCTGTGCCAATGCATTCAAGACTACTTTCTACTTTCTCTTCTATCAGATTCAGTGTAACTGGTTTTATATTGAGGTCTTGATCCACTTGGACTTGAGTTTTGTGCATGGCGATAGATAATGGATCTATTTGTAATCTTCTACATATTGACATCCAGTTATGTCAGTACTATTTGAAAGAAGATGCTTTCTTTTTTCCATTGTACAGTTTTGGCTTCTTTGTCAAAAATCAGGTCAAACAAAGATTTTAATAGGTATCTATACTATCAGAGGAATCCTGTGTTTAAGTGTCTTATACAAAATGCTTTGCACAGTGATTGTTTAATTTAAATTAGTTATGTGGTTCCTGGCAGTGTAGGTTCTTTTTTTTTTCAAGGCAGGATTTTTCCATGTAGTTTTGGTGCCTGTCCTGGATCTTGCTCTGTAAACCAGGCTGTCCTTGAACACACAGAGATCCACCTGGCTCTGCCTACCGAATGCTGGGATTAAAGGCGTGCGCCACTACCGCCTGGCTCAATGTAGGTTCTCAATAGACACTTGAGAAGATTAAATTGAATTTAGAACTAAAGTAATATCTATCTATCTATCTATCTATCTATCTATCTATCTATCTATCTATCTATCTATCTATCTTTTTATGTAGCCCAGGCTGGCCTGGACCATACTGCCTTGTATAGCCGTGTCCCTACTGCCTCTACTTGTCATGTGCTGGCAGTACAGAGGTATACCACTAATGCCTGGTTTTGTGTGATACTGGGGGTGGAACCTAAGGCTTTGTGAAAGCTGCGTCTGTATCACCAGCCCAAATACTGCTCTAATAATCAAATCCTTCTTATTTGGAGATGGTTCTAAATGGCCCAACCTGTTAGAGCTTGGCATTTCAAGTTGGAGAACCTAGGGTTAAAAAGCAACTCCACATTCTACTTGAGGAAAACTGGATAGGAAAACTGTCAGGTGGATATGGTATCCTCCGCAAGTTCTTGGTAGGCTAAAACACTGGACAGTACCTTGTAAAGGCCTGCTATGTGTCCTTTTTTATTTCTGTAAGTTTTTTTTTTTCTAAAGCATGTATGCATACTACTTAAGGGGTTTTGAGGAATTATAAGGTTTGTACATTAAAAAAAGTTTGTGGATAAATTCAGTGTGTTGAACTTTCTTGGCCTAGCACCACATTCTTGGTTTGACTTTGTGGCTTCTACTGATCTGAACATGTGAATCTTTATTGAACAATTCGTTGAAAAAAATAAACCAAGGTTCTCCTTAGCTTTAGTGTGCTGTTTGGGATATTTATGTGTATACAGAAGTAATCACATTCTGTGGGAAATTATTCATTGTTAAAGATTATTTTTGTGTTCTCCCAACCTTGGCCATTAAATT